CCCTAAACCCTAAACCCTAAACCCTAAACCCTAAACCCTAAACCCTAAACCCTAAACCCTAAACCCTAAACCCTAAACCCTAAACCCTAAACCCTAAACCCTAAACCCTAAACCCTAAACCCTAAACCCTAAACCCTAAACCCTAAACCCTAAACCCTAAACCCTAAACCCTAAACCCTAAACCCTAAACCCTACGCATGAGGGAGGGAGGCGCTTCGGGAGAAGTGCCGTAACCGACCGACTAGCTAATACTTATTACACCTAAAGTCCTAGGTTCTCTGGGTCGTACTAAACCCGAAAAGTCACGATCATTCGCATCCTTCCTGTGCACCTTCACGACGCCCTACGGCCATCACTCGTCGACCAGCACGGCACCGCAGACTTCCCCCTCGACGCTCCGGACGGCTCCGGACTCTTGCGTCAAAGTGCCTTCTTCAGTGTTCGTGTTGGACGACAAACGACCAGTCGTAGTTTGTCCTCTGTGAAAATAATGGGACCCGAAGCCCTCCTCTTGCGTGACACACAGTCGATTTGAGTGGAAAGCCTGCGGAGGCGCCTTTATGCCGCAAGCTTTCTCACACAAATTTCTTCGTTGCCATCTCGAGCCGTGAAGTCTTTCCAAGATGGGTCCTCTGCTTTCCATGTCGAAGCGACAGTTCTGCAAGTAAACCCCCAAAATGTTCAGGTGTCTCGTCTGAATCGCCGCCAAAATTTTCCTCACTCTCCAGGCCGCTGTGCGCTCGTCTCTCACATAATGGCCAACGATTCTTCGAATGAAACTCAACGCTTCTCCACCTATCTCACCGTACCAACCAATTGCAAAAGGCACGAATTCGCTCGTCAAGCCGTCCAAGGGAACGAAGTTCGCCCATGCGGGCGAGTTTCTCTTCTTCTCTTCCGCGCTCTCAAGGTGGTCGTCAACTGCCAGAATGTTTGTGCCCTGGCGAGTGAGTGGCGCCTGGTTGGTGAGGTCGAACACAATCTTGACGTTGTCGTCGAAAGCGTTGTCGATGACCATGTCTGGTCAAAAAAAGCTTTTACAAATACCTGAGCCTGGAATTGAGCCCCCCTACGTTCCCGACATTCCGAAATAACAGCGATCCGCAAATGTTATGGGTTCTTTCCGGCGCGTCGACGTTTGGCGTCAGGTCGTTGGCCGAGGCCGTTACAGCGCAGCGCGCTAGACGCGTGGACGCGGCGTCCATGCGGTCGACGGCGAGGCGCGAGTGTCGTGGTGAGGACAGCGCGACGACGCGCGACGACGATGCACAAGCGCGCGGACTGGCGATGCTTGCAGACACGCGAAAGACGGCCGGCAGTAGTCGCGAAGCGCTACGTTCGAGCATCGTCGCGCGCTTCAGCGAGGATGAGAGCCTCATGGAAACTTTCGGGCCCGTGCTCTCGATTGTCGACGCGCTCGAACGGATGTACGAGGAATATTCCGTCACGTCAACGAGTGGGACGCTTAGGATCAGAGCGCTCGGCGCCTCGGACGCGTTCGAGCTCGCCCGCTGGCGCACGTTCGCCGCGCTCGCTGTGCTGCTCGAGAACTGCGAACGCGTCGAAGTCGAGTTCATCGGTCCGACTTTGCGACGCCTTTATCCAGGTGTGGTGTGTGAAGCGACGTCGACAGATGGTTCCGGGCGGCTGCGCATTCAGGCAATTCGTGGCTTGTATCCCGAAGTCAGCGATGTCGCGTCAGCGTCGGCATCTGAAGCAGCAGCTTACGACGTCGTCGTCGCGTTTAACGCGGGATTGCCAGTGGGCGGCGACTGGGCGCGCGCTATTGAGCGAATCGTCAGTGAGCACGTCGATGCGTTTGCAGCTAACGCACCATCGTTAGGAAACGTCGCGCCTCCTTTTTGGGTGAGCGATTACAACGAAGAAGCGATAGACATAGCCTTTGCGTTTCTTCGGCACGTCGTCCAACGTGTTCTCGAATCTCGAAACGTTGACTCGCGCGCCGAAGCTATTTATTTGGAGCCGTACTCGAACGCTGCATACCAGTCGCGTAAACGTATAAGTTCTTGTACGGTACCGACGCACGCGAATGCTTACGCGTGCGCGTTCGTCGGCTTGTCGCGATTAGAAGAATAGAACGTAGCAAACCATGTAGCTGACGCGACTTGAGTGGAGAAATTTGACTAAACGCTAGAGCTAAGGTTTATGGTTTGCGAACTCGAGCTCCAGCTGGCGCGCCTTGAGCCAGTCGGCGACGTCGTTGAAGCCTTCCACGAGAGCTAAACCCGCCGGATCGTATCCCTCCGCGTCGGGTTGGGCGTGGTCTCGCGTTAGACCCAGACTCGGCGTATCTAAGAGCCACTCGCACACGTCTCGATTTCCACGCTGTGCGGCTTTGTGTAAACAGCTATGACCGTTGGCGTTGATCAAATTGAAACGCACGCCGAGTGAGGCGAGATATTCGCAACACTCGACGCCACCGGCGCCCATGGCGGTCCAGCACGCGACGTTACAACCGTAATCGTTGCACGACTTGTAATCGCACTCGGCGCGTTCAACGAGCTGGCGCATGACGGCGAGATGACCTTGCCAACAAGCCCACGCGAAAGCGGTGGATCCGTCTTCAGTGGTGCTGTTCGGATCGACGCCGCGCGAAAGCAGATATTCCACCACCTCGACGTGGCCGTTTCGCGCCGCCCAGTGCAAGGCGCTTCGACCGGCGTACGAGCGCCGTCCGCTCTGGACGGAGGTTTGAGGATTCATACAGCATTTTTCGACGAGAAACTCGACGCACTCGACGTGCCCGGCGCCCGCGGCCCAAAGCAACGCGTTGGAACCGTGCTTATCGACGGCGTCCTTCGAGCGTGGATCCCATCCATCGCGCGAAACGAGCGAGCGTAAGAGATTCAAATCGCCTCGCCGCGCGGCTTCAAGTCCGGGCAAAGGCAGTGCTTTGACGCGCTTCGCCGCGATCAGGGCATCCATGACAGTGGCGTCGCCGCGGCGGGCCGCCGCCATCGCCTCGCGCAAATCGTCCTCCCGCGACGCTTTTTTCGTCTTATTATCCAAATACGCCGCGTCTCCGTTCGTGAGGTCCGACCTCGATCCCGAGGTCGACATCGCCACGAGCGCGTTTCGCTCTCTCTCCACCGCGTCCATGGCTTCCTGGTGTAAATCGTTATGCCTCGTCTTTCGATGCCACCACAAACCGCGTTCGCCGCCGGAGATAAATTTTCCGCATTTATCGCACATCGCCGATCCCGCGTCACGCAGCTCGGCATATCGCTCTAACGTGCATATGGTGATCATCCCGCTGTCACCGCCGTCGTGCACGCGCACGGCGGCGAAATGCTTTGACGCGAACGCGTTTGGTATGAGCTCCGTCGCCGCCGTGGCGAGCGATTTGGCCGTGTGTTCACGTTCGACGCCCATGGGCGAGACGCACGTCACCGTGGTGGACGCATAACGACCGCTCTGCGCGCGTAGGGCGTGAAACAGCGCGTTCGCGGCTCCGCATTCGACGTCGCCGCCGGGGAGCTTCTTCGACACCCGAACGAGACGACGTTCGTCGAGACTCGCGAGAACGTCGCGCGCCGTGCTCTCGATCTCCGTGAGCGCGTCGAGTAACACATTTTTGATATCCTCAAGCGGTGGCATCGCCGCACACACACGGTGTGCGCGACGATGTGACGATGTTGTCGCGCTTGGCGCGGGGACGACGAGAAGCGCGACTCGCGATGGCTTCACACTCGGTTTTGTCGACAATCTATCTCATCTATCGCACGTCACGTCTCGACTTTAACTTTCCCGTTCCCGTGACGGCGCTGCCATGCGCAAAATGATTGTAGGTTGCAATCTTTTGGTTTACGTCGGACGTCGCCACGGGCAAAAATCTCAAACGAATCCACTCCAAACTCGCCGATACCGTAAATTTTCAACTCGGGCTCGAGTCCGACTTCAAACTCGCCAGTTTCCAATAGAAACTTCGTGGACACCTCCACGATCGTCCGCATCCTCCCGGGGAACAAGCCGAGGCGCTTGATGATTTCGAACACGTCCTGCGAATCCGCCGCGAGCGCCGCGCTCGGCGTCGGGAATTTCGCGAAAAAGTTTGATATGCATTCGTGTTTGAGAGCACCGCTCGCGACGCGCGACATCAGAGCACACGCGATCAGCAACTGCCACGCGTCATGCGCGTAATACTCTTGCAACAATTGCATGGGTGACGGCGGCGGAGGCGTTCCTAATCGAGACATCGTCCACGCCTTCCAATCGCTCACAGAACGCGCGGACGGTACGCTGTCTCCCCAACGCGCCACGGCGTCGCGGCGCCACGCCTCGTCTTTCGCTGACTTTTCGACAAAAGAATTGGCAACGTCCGCACGCGTGGCGAGTAACTTTTCTCGCGCTTCTGCGAGCCATTCTCTCGACGTCGCCACGACGTCCTTTGCCAACTCGTCGTCGTCCAACTCGGCGTCGACGCTCGCGCGCTTCCTCGCCCGACCGTTTTCGTTTTCCTCGTCCTCATCGAGCAAGGCGTCGATGGTCGATCCATCGTACTCGGCCTTCACACCGACGACCCTGGACGACCGCCTCGTCGGCTCGCTCGGCTCTTCGCGCTTCACTCTTTTCCGTGACGTAGTGCTAATCTTCCGCGACGACATCTTGTTTCGAATGTCATCCGCGAGTGCGTTCACACCCAAGCGAGCCATGTACTCGCGGTTTCGCTGAACGTGCGCTAATCGCTGGCGCTCATACTCTGTGAGGTTCTCGTCCGGCATGGTCGCGCGCGTCGCGAGTCGCGCACTGAAGACTGTTGTGGGACACCTTAACGCCGAGTGGGGCGTCGTAGCGCCGAGTGAGCGCCGATCGCTCGCCGTGGACGCGCGAGCGTAAAAGACTAATGTGTGATGTGTGCTGACAACCGATGAACAATCTAGGCATGCTGCGCGACTACACGATGCGCTCGAGTTCCTTGGCGTAGAGCAACGTTTGATTTATCAGAGCGGCCGCCGGGATGTCCCTGGCGCTCGCTGGCGCGACTTCTTCGTTGAAAACCACGCCTCCGTTGGCGTCCATCGTCCAGTCACGCGCGTTTGCGTATTTTTCAAACTCTTGAGCGTTTGCGAATCCTAACAATTTCATCGCCTCTGCGCCCGTAAGCGAGCCGTACGCGCTCTCGGCGCAACTCGCAATTTCGTCTCGCACCGTGTTCATCAACATCGACATGAAATACTCGTAGCTCGGATCTGGTAGCGCGTTTTGTCGCTGCGCAATCTTGTTATACGCCCCCTCCATCAAAAACTGTTCGAGCTCCAACACCGCTTGCACGCGTTGATCTTTCAAGACGTCGTCGTCCGTCGTCTCAAGCTCGGCGTGAAACTCGGCGATGCGGTTCTGAACCAGCAACCGCAACAGGTTTAACCCGACGATGAGCGCCTCATTTTGCGAACGCTCGATGGGTTGCTTGCAAGGCGCGCGCTTGCAGGCGTCGTAAGCAGCTTTCGCCTGCGAGGCGTGTCGCTCAAAGCTCTCCTCGTCTCGCGTCGCCGCGCTGATCATGACCCCGTGTTCCGCCGCCTCGCGCCTCAGCCGGAGCTCGTCTTCTTCGTTTCCTACGAACGTCGTCGCCGCGTGCACTTTGAAATCGTCCAAACGTTCCAGCGCCGTGGCGTGATCGTTCGTCGCGATCGCAGCCTGGATTTGCTTGATTAAATCTTTGCCGTGCGCGACGGACGTCGACGACGACGTGGACGCTCTGCGCGTGCCCACCATGACGTGTCTGAGTATTAGTTGGTTCGTCTGCGACGACGCGTGCGCGCGCGTTGCGGTGTGACCACGCCGAGTTTGTGCGAGGAGACTGGGTTGACTTTTTTACTCTACGGCGAGCCGTCCGTCGTGAGAGAAAGCGTTTACATTAAAATAGCCATCTAATCAGCAACTACTCCGCGCTCGCGGACGGAGACTGCTCTTTCTTCAATCTCTTGATCGCTTCGGCGATGTTGATGCCACCAAGCGCGGCGGTCAGCGTCTGGGCGGCGAGCGCGGCGGCGTCGACGTCCTTCTTCGACAGGAATGGAGGCGGCTCTGTCTGCCCGGCGATCGTCACGCTGGTGAAGATCTCGCCTTCGCTCAAGCCGAGACGATCGTAAACTTCTTGAAGATCGTCCACGGTCATCGCGTCGTACATGAGGGGTAAATCAGCGACGCACTGAATCTTCTTCAGCGGCGCTAAATCTGGAGTGTTGGTGCACTGCATCAAATCGGCCCAGTAGTTGTTCGTCTTCAAATCCATCTCATGACGACTCAACAGCGTTAAACGCGCGCGATCGACCTCGCGTTGGCTCACGCGCTGCATCTGAAATCCACGCAACACGCGCACGCCGGCGTTGAGAGCTTCATCAATTTTTTCCGGCGTCGACGTCACCAACAACCTGTACGTCGTCGCGTCGTTGTTTTGTAATCCAAACGACATTGTAAAGTTGCAGTCGTACGTCAGACCCAACGCGTCGCGCACCGTTGTGAACAATCTACCACCGATAACTTCTGCGAGCATCATCCCCGCGCAATACGTCGCCAAAGAATTCGCGCGTCGCGCAGACTGCTGTGCGAATGGGTTCCCCTTCGCCGACGCCACCTCGTTCACGGGATCGCGCAAGGCTGCAATCTGTTCCGGCGTGTACGCGTCTTGATTGACAAAGCTCGGAATTTCAGAGTACAGACTCGTCATCGGCGCCCACATGGATGGCCCCGGTCCGGCGGCCACCGCGCACGCTCTTTCGTCGCTGTCCTTCAACCACAACCGCTGCGCGCGCACCGGATCATCCTTTGGCACCTCTTTCAATTTCAGCGGGGGCACTTGCGGCAACGGCGGCGCGGGCTTGGTCTGAATCGATCCCATAAACGCGAGAACCATTTCGTCGACTTCTTCGGGGATGATGTCGCCGACGATGTTGAGTTCCAAAGCCCCGCTCGCGAATTGAGCTTCGATCATGTCTCGAACGCCATCCAGCGTCAGCGCCTGGAGTGCCTCCTTGTTCGGGTCCATGATTCTTCGGTCTTCGTAAATCACGGCGTTGACGGTGTCATGCGTGAGCAACTCGATGTTCTTGTTCGTGTTAATCTGAAACATGCGGTAAATGTCCTTGACGCGCTCGAGCGCTTGCTCGTCCCACGTCGGCTTCGTCAGCGTGAGGTGCATGATCTCGAGAATAGTCCTCAAGCCTCCATCCGTGGCGAACGCGGAATCCAAAAACATGTACTCGACCTCGGGCTCGACGTCGTACACGAGCAAGTGTTGCATCGTCAAGAGCTCGATTTGCTTGCGCGACCATTCGCCGACGTCGCCAGCCTCTTGCACGGTGCGCAAACCGACCGCCGACGAACCGATTCCGCCGGGCCCGATGTTCGGGCTCTCAACCGAACGACCACCCGGGACGACGAGTCGTAAGAACGCGCTCCCAGGCTCGGCGTCGAGCACCTTGTAGTTGACGCGAATACCGTTACTCAGCGTGCGCTGGTACACGCCGGTCGGCTCGTGATACGTCGCCTCGGTAAACGTCGGCGCCGTTTGCTCGATGAGGGCGTTGATTTCGTCATCCGCAATCAACACCTCCGGCACAAAGATATCCTCGGGCTCTGTGATTTCACCGTAATCCGCCGCCAAAACTTGTTCTATGCGCTCGGGCGTGATATCGAACGGCACCGTCTCGCCGTCGACGTTCGTCATCGTCGCTGGGACGCACGCGACGATGGCGGTGCACTTACCGCTGTTCGGTTTGCGATTGTTCTCCACGCCGTACTCACCGATAAAACCTAAAAGCTCATCGCACGCGCCGTTGCACGCCTCGAGCGTGATGTAATCAGACATGCGCACCAAGGCCTCGTGACCCGCGACCTGGTCCATGACGACGTGTCCGCAGGCGTCCTGCTCCATGACAAAGTCGAGATTTTCGAGGCTCGGCACGCATCCCGCCTGCTGCGCGAGCTGTTCAGAATCTCTCAACATCGCCGCCTTAAAACGATCGAGCTCGCTCGGCGTCAATCCAAACTTTTGCAATCGTCGAGATTCCTCGACGGCGACTTGCAAGGCGAATTCGTACTCTCTCGGCTCGCACGTCACGGTGACGGTGCTGACGCAACACCCCTCTCTCGCGCTGTCGCTATGATCGAGTTCAATGCGTTTGTAATCCGCATTAGTTTCCGCGTATCTCGCCTGAATGCGGCTCTGCAACACCAACAACACAATGCGCTGCAAAATCGTCCGGTGCAAGTCGCCCATCTTTTCGAGCGGCTTGACGGCCAATTTTGAAAATATGTTGAAACTCGCGTTGGACAAGTGTTCGTGCTGGAACATGGACACTTTACCCTCGGGGGCGACGAAAGGCAAGAACGGGTCGTCTTTGCCCGACGCCTTCGCCTCGTCGTTCGAGCGTTGAATTTCGTCGAGCTCGTACGACGGCGCCCCGTACGCGTGCTTCACCGGAGGACGCACCGCGTGACGTTTGAGAGGAGACTCGGCTTCTTCCGCGCCTTCCGCGGGCGCCGCTTCGTCGAACGCGGCGGAAATCATACCCTCGACTTCGTCCACGGAGGCATCGAAGTCGCCCACGACGTAGAGCGTGGCGTTGGCTGGGAAATACCAGCGCGCGTGAAAGTCTCGCACCGCCTGCGCCGGCCACGCTTCCACCTGATCGAGCTTACCGATCGGAAATCGCGTGCCCAAGAGGTTGTCCCAGTGCAAATGCTCTAGAAGCTGACAGTCCACTCTGTACTCGATCGTGTTCATCATTTGAGCCTCGGCGAGCACGGCTTTCTTCTCCTTCGCCACGCGAGTGTCCAAGAGTTGCGGCGCAAACGCGACGTCGTAGAGAATGTCCAGCACGTTGGGCGGCATGTAATGTCCATCCTTGTTCGTCGTCGGTGCGTGGATGTGGAACACGGTGTGGTGGAAATCCGTGTACGCGTTCCCTCGCGTACCGCTCCCGAGCCACTGATCTCGTTTTCGAGAACCCAAAAACGTGACGTGCTCGACGAGGTGCGCCAGCCCTTGCTCGTCTTCGCGTTCGTCCACGGACCCGACGTGCATCTCCAAGTGCGCCTCAAATCTCCCCTCGGGAACTTTGTTCGGTAAGATGACGTACTTCAACCCATTCGCGAGCGTTCCTCGACGAATCTCTTCGTGCGGCGTCAAAGGCTCGTCCAGCATCGCCGTCGTCGCCGCGGGATCGGCGACGGATGACAGCGTCTGCATCGCGCGATCCCATCGCCCCGGCCCACCGTTCGTCGACGACGCGTTCGCGCGCACGACGCGCGCGCACCGTCGCCCTCGCGTCGCCCGTTTCGTCGTCGTCGCCGTCCGTCCACGCCGACGATGCGGCGTCACGATTCCTCGCGCGTTCGCGCTCGCGCGCCCGCTCGCGGAGACGCGCGACGCCATGTCGATCCGGCCGTGCGCGCGCGCGTTCGTCGGGTCGTCCGATCGTCGGGACCGTCGTCGTCGAAGCGCGCGCGACGCCGGCGCCGGGGTCACGCCGCGCACTGCGGAAGGGCGGACGATTGATTCGACGCCGCCCCTGGACCGCTGGACCCTGGGCGGGCGCGCGCGCGGGCGCGAGGGGGCTTGGCGCGCGGTCGATCGATCGATCGATCGGTCGATCGTTCGATCGATCGATCGATCGATCGACGTCCGTCGATCGACGCGCGATGGTTCGCGAAAAAACGAAATCGCCCTCGGCGACCGCGCGCCGGCACTTCGCGACGACGCGTGCGGCGAGCGATGTTTAGCGTGACGTGCGCGCCGTCGGCGACGACGACGACGTCGTGCGCCGTGAAGGCGACGGCGCGATCGCAAAGGGTGCGAACGATCGATCGACGCGACGCCGACGCGCGCGAACGCGTTCGAACGCTTCATCTGCGCGCTCGAGGTGCGCGATTTCGTCGACGCGATGCGGCGCGCGCGGAATCATCGCGAAGGCGCGTGTCGCGGCGCGATCGACCGGGCTCGACGCGAGACTGACGACGCGCGCGCGTGCGATCGGTGATTACGAAGGTTTTACTCTGGTCCGTGGTTCTCGTGCCCGGGCGAACGTCGGGGGCGTGGAACGACGCGGCGAGAGCGTACTACACGCGCGAGACGGTGCGTCAACGTTCGACGCGTTACGACATGGTTGGATTCCAGCAAATGATGCAATCTCTCGCCGAACGCAATCGACGAATCGCGCGCGAGCGCATCGAGTCACTCGTGAACGAGTTCAGAGTCGAGTCCGAGGCCGCGAGTCGTAAGTTCATCTCTCAAGCCGAACAAGATTACGAAACGTTCGCGCGCGCCGCCGGGCGCCAAGCCGCCGAGCGTTCGCGAGAGTCCAAAACCATCGCCTCTCGCGTCGAAGCCCTCACTCGCACTTGTTGGTTCGTGTATTCGTTGATTTCCGCGGTGGGAATTTTCTTTCTCGGTGCTGGGTTTAGCGTGATGCACGGGATGCACGGGTTGATGGACCCGATGCCGTCTGAAAACATACGTATTGGGATCGCGGTGTTGGGCGCGTCGGCGTTGTTGGAAGGATTTTCGTTAAAGGTGGCGTACGAGTCGTTGCGCGACAACGCCAAGGCGCAAGGAATGACGCTGAGGGAATTTATCAAATCTGGTAAAGATCCCACCAGCGTGGCCGTGCTCGCAGAAGATGCTGCCGCGGTGTTGGGTTGTGGCATCGCGGGTACGGCGCTCATCGCGTGCGAAGTGACGGGGAGTCCGATGTACGACGCGATGGGCTCGATTGCTGTCGGTGGCCTTCTTGGGGTGACGGCAATGTACCTCATCAACAGTAACCTCGTGCGCCGTGAAGGCGACGGCGCGATCGCAAAGGGTGCGAACGATCGATCGACGCGACGCCGACGCGCGCGAACGCGTTCGAACGGCGCCCGAGGACGACGACGGGGCGGTGTCCCCATCGGCGCCCCATCGGCGCCATCGGCGCGCCATCGAACGCGACGGATCGGGATGCGCGCGACGATGGGGACCGCGAGGCGTCGATGGCGACGATGGCGTCGACACCGACGGTCGCGAGGGATCACGCGCGCGCCGACGAGGGGAGACGTCGCGTCGACCTCGACGGCGCGCGACGGCGCGATCGGGGCGTGTTATCCAAAGCGACGCGCGAGACTGACGACGCGGTTTTCTGGAATTCTTCGCGCAGGTGCACGCCGCAGCGCAGCGACGAAGCGTCGTCGTGAATGCGGGCACGGGTAAATTTATCGTCGGCGGGAACTGGAAGTGCAACGGCACGGCGGAGTCCGTCAAGTCGCTCGTGAAGGAACTAAACTCTGGGAAAATCGACGCCGACGTTGACGTCTACGTCGCGCCTCCGTTCGTCTTCATTCCTCGAGTGCAAAAGGAGCTCAACAACAAAAACTACGCCGTCGCCGCGCAGAACTGTTGGGTCTCCGCGGGTGGGGCGTTCACGGGTGAGGTGAGCGCGGATATGCTCGCCGACGCCGACATTCCGTGGGTGATTCTCGGGCACAGCGAACGCCGCGCGCTCTGCGGCGAGACGAACGAGTTCGTCGGGGAGAAGACCAAATATGCCTTGAGCAAGGGATTGAAGGTTGCTTTGTGCATCGGTGAGACGTTGGAACAGCGCGAAGCGGGCACGACTCTGGATATTTGCCGCGCGCAACTCAAGGCGGTGAACGACGTCGTGACCGCGGCGGACTGGGAAAACATCGTCATCGCGTACGAGCCCGTTTGGGCGATCGGTACCGGCAAGGTCGCGACGCCGGACCAAGCGCAAGAAGTGCACGCGGGCATTCGCAAGTGGTGCGCGGATAATATTTCTCCGGCGATTGCGTCGAAGATTCGCATTCAGTACGGCGGCAGCGTCAACGCCGGCAACTGCGACGAATTAGCTCAGAAAGAGGACATTGACGGCTTTCTCGTCGGCGGCGCGTCTTTGATCGGCGAGGCTTTCGTGACGATTTGCAACAGCGCCAAGCACTCTAAGTGAGCGAAGCGAACGAAGAGTGCGTGAACCTATCCAATCCTATTCGAATTGTCGCCGCGTGCGGCGCGCGCGCGCACCCCTGAATTAGTAGACTCAATATATATTTCTCGAACGCGAGCGTTCGCGGAGACGAGGCAAAAGTGTAATGTTAACCGTTTACGTTGCGTTCTATTCAAATCAATCTATTCAAATCAACCCACTGCGTGGACCATCATCTATAATACGCCATGTGCCTCGTTTGGAAGTGACTCGCGGCGTCGATTTTCTTCGCCGTCGGGGCGGCGAGTTCCGCCGCCTCTCGCGCGCGGCGCTCGTCGCGATCGATGCGAAGCCACTTTTCAATGGTCGACAATAAATGTTTCGTGCCTTGAATTTCCGGAATGTCCACCTTGGCGCCGCCATACTTCAACTGCCCGTTGGACGTGAACGCGAGGTGCGTCATCCAATCCGCCATGCCATCGAAGATGTGCGTGGCGTACACGATGGTGGCCCCGCGCACCTCGCACTCTTCCTTGAAAAACTCCAACAAGTCAAGCCGACCGAGGATGTCCAAATCCACCGTGATTTCGTCGCACAGCAACACCTTGTACGGCTTCAAGAGTCCGAGACAAATCTGAACTCGACGTCGTTGTCCGTCGCTCAACGCCTTCATGGACCAGTCCAAATCCACATCCAGCAGCTTCACCAATCGTTCTCGCCTCGCCGGGTCCACGTCTGCGACGCCCTCGATCATTTTCCTCGCCGAAATGTCTCCTTGCAGGGGCACGTCCGCGCCCGCGCTTCCGATGTTGCGCCGCCACTGCGCGCCCAGGTAAGAAAGCTCGCCCCCGCACGTGAGCGCGATGTCGTGAAACGGCGGTCGTCCCAGCACGCGCACGACGTCTTCGTTCACCATGGTTTTACCCGCGATGACGTGCAGCGCCGTCGTCTTCCCCGCCCCGTTCGCGCCGGAAAGCAAGCACCTCGACCCCGGCGGCAGGCGCAGGCTCCAATCGCGCAGCACCGCGTCGCATCCCGGGTACGCGTACGTCAGCGCGTCGACGGCGACGGCGCACGACGGTTCGGGGGCATCGTCCAGGACGACGTCCACGACGCCGTGCATCGCGACCGTCTCGCGTCGCGGCGTCGCGGCGCCGTGTGCGGTGACGTCACGCGACGCACACTTTTTCATCGTGCGCATCGTGGTCCGTGTGGCGCGCGTGAGACTTTTGGATCACGATGCGCCGCTCGACGACGGATGCCGACGGCACGCGACGACGCGCGACGGCCGGGATGGCGACGCGCGCGATGTCGGCGCGCGCGCAAACGGTGGTGCGATGCGACGGCGCGCGAACGAGCGGACGTCGATCGCGGAGGGCGACGACGACGACCGCGAGAGGAGAACGATCGAGCGGCGCGGCGACGCCGACGGCGACGCGGATGACGACGCGAACGCGGGCGGTGGAGCCGGAGGCTCTGTTCGAGATCGCGAAAGTTGACGATAGCGTGTACGGTCCGGTGGTGTGCGTCGCGGCCGCGTTGTGGGTGGGATGGGTGTTTTACAACGGCTCGCGCGAGGTGAAGGCGATTTCCGAAGAGCTCGAAGCCAAAGGCTACGACGTCGGCTCGATTCAGCGCCTGAAGGAACTGAAATTCTTGAAGCGATTCGTCGACGGTGGCGATAAAGCCGAGATTCAAGAGGCGTTCGATAAGATTTGGTTCTCGCGCGCGAAAACCATCGCGGCGACTGGCGACATAATGCAAGTGAGGCGCATGACTGAGTACTGGCGCAAGCGCGGCGTCAAGGTCGAGCGGCTTTCGGATTTGGACGTCTTGCAGGACTGGATGGTGAAAAAGTACAACAAACAACAAAAGTAGTCAGTTTATTTAATATTCATCGCGCGCGCGCACGATTTCGCGCGCGCTCGGCGTCGCGTTCGATCGCCCGAAACCGTCCGCGCCCACCCGCGCACGATTTCGCGAGATTTCCGCGTGGCGGTCGTTCCCCTTGAAAATCGAGTGTGAACACTGACTCGCGCGCCGCACACCGCGACGCGCGCACCGCCCCGAACGACCGCGCGCGGAAGATGCTCGGATTGGGTCTCAAGATCGCCGGATTCGGCGTCGGGTACTGCTACCCGACGTACAGCGCGTTAAAGTTGCTCGACAGAAAAGTCATCGGCCCGGAAGATGTCACGCTCTGGTTGACGTACTTCATGATCGCGTTCACGCTCGCGATCGGCGAGGCGATCGGCGTCGTGGGATGGTGCGCGTGACGGCGATCGCGTGCGATGCGCCGTGCGAGCGCGCGCGGACGCGTCTTCCGCGCGCGCGACGCGACGACGGGGAAAGATCATAATCGCCGGCTCGACCGCGCGCAAGATCTCGCCAGGCGCGCCGAGGCGAGCGAATGGGGGGACGACGGATGACTGACGCACGGTGTGACGTTTCGCGCTTTCTACGACCAGGATTCCGGCGTACCGCATCATGAAGGTTTTATTCTGCGCGTGGATGGTGAATCCGCGCTTCAAGGGTGCCATCACGCTGTACAAGAAGGGCATTCAGCCGATTTTTCACCAGCTGTCGCCGTCCATCGACAAGCACGCCGAAAACTTGAAGAAGGGTGATTTTGCGGCGATTCAACAAGAGTTGGGCCCGCAATTCGCCAAGGTTCAAGAACTCGTGAAGAAGCACGGTCCGGAGGCGATTGAGCGCGCGATGAACTTGGCTGGCAAGGGTGACAAGAAGAACGCCGCGACGGCAGCCAACGGGACGAAGGCTGAATAAACGACGAAATGACCAGGCAGTGTTAGGAACAAACCTTTTAATCAACGACGATGTACTACGTGAAAATGAACAAAAACACGGATTCATAGATATTAGATAATACGTTCTTTCAAAATCATCGCGGTGACGGCGAGGAGACGCGTCCTTTCTTCCCCGCCCGGACTTCGCTCGAGAGGATTTCATCCAGACGCTCGATGTCTCGGGCGCTGCCGCAGTGGAAGGGCATTCGCGAGTGCGCGGTGGACGGAACGAAACTCAACACGCTATCGTTGGCGCCAGATATAGCCAGACCACCCGCGCGCTCTATTATGGCAGCCATGGGAAAGCATTCGTACACGGCGCGAAGCTTTCCTTGAGCGTTTGACGAACACGCCGGGTAATGAAACGTGCCGCCGTAGAGCAACGTGCGGTGCACGTCTGCGACCATGGAACCGATGTAGCGAAGAGATTTTGAGCTCGCGCACTCATCAATGTACGCTCGCGTGGCGTCGTCCCACTTTTTATAGTTCGCCTGGTTCACGCTGTACACGTTGCCGCTCTCGGGAATCCGAATATCGCGCTTCGTCAGCACGAACGCGTCGCGATCGGCGTCGTACGTAAACGCGCACACGCCGCCGTGAGCGTCCTCCGACATGAAGCTCAAAACGAGCACCATCGACGCGCCGTACAAAACGTAACCGACGGTAGACATGTCTCGTCCGGGACGCGCGTACACGTGCTCCGGCGATGATTCCGCGCCGACGTCGACGAGCCCGAAAATCGTCCCGACGCCGACGCCGCACTCGATGTTCGAGCTTCCATCCAAAGGATCGAAAACGACGGCGATTCGTCCGTCGACGTTCGCGGTGACGATATCTTCGCTCTCCTCGCTCGCGATCCACGCGCATCGCCCTCCCTGTATTAATTCTTTCACGCACACTTCGTGCGCGGCGTCGTCCAGCGCCGCTTGCTCTTCGCCGTGCACGTTGACGGCGCCGTTCTTCCCCTCGACGAACGCCTTGACGTCCTTCAACCCAGCGCGCCGCACGAATCCTCCTATGCGCACGCACGCCTTCGCCATGGATCGCACCACGCTCGCCTCATCCTCTGCGATCGCGCTCGACGCCGCGCCTTCGCTCGACGCCGCCCTCGCGGCGAGCGCGGCGTCCAAGTATCGCTCCAGCGTCGTCTCCCCGATTTCCAACGCTCCCCGCGTCATCTCGACCGACATCGAGCGTCGACCGATCGCGCGCGCGGGTTCGGTGTCACCGATGCGCGCGCCGCGCGCGCCCTTATCGTCGTCGTCGTCGTCGCGTCGACCGCTCGACACGAATCGCTCGCCGTGCCCAGCGCTTCGCGCGCGCGAATGCGCGACGCGCGCGCGCGCGTCCGGAGCGCCTCGTCGCCGCGAGCGCGCGGTGCGGTGGTGAAGGTGAAGGTGAATGCGCGTGCGGTGTGCGTGCGATAACGTCAATCGGGCGTGCGTCGCCGTCGTGTCGGTGTCCTCGGAGTGCGGTCGTCGTCCGTCGCAAGATTAAGATTGATTTCCAGGTGTTGGCCGCGCGCGTCGAAAATCGGATTTCCCCGACCGCGCGGTCGGCGATCGACGTCGACGCGACGTCACTTTCGAGACGACGACGACGACGATGGCGAGCGCGATGACGAGCACCTCTGCGTTCACCCCGACCACGGCGGGGCTGAAGGCGCGGCGCGCGAACAAAAACTTCTCGCGATCGACCGTTCGCGTGGTGCGCGCGAGGCGAGGCGAAGCGACGACGGACGACGACGGCGCGAACGACGATGCGATCGGGGAAGGATAAAGAAGCCCGCGCGAACGGTCGAGCCGGCCGAGGATCGCGGAGGGAGGCCGCGAGGACACGGGCGAAGACTGACGATCACCGTTACCACGATTTCCGACTCGCAGCAAGCGCGCAAGCCGTTGGTCGGGTACGAAGCGCCGGACTTCAGCGCCGAAGCCGTCTTCGACCAAGAGTTCCAAGACATCAAGCTCAGCGATTACCGAGGCAAGTACGTGGTGTTGTTCTTCTACCCGCTCGATTTCACCTTTGTGTGCCCGACGGAAATCACCGCGTTCTCTGATCGTTACGAAGAGTTCGCCAAGCTCAACACCGAAGTTCTCGGCTGCAGCGTCGACTCCAAGTTTTCCCACTTGGCGTGGTTGCAAACGGACCGCAACGACGGCGGTCTCGGCGACTTGGCGTACCCGCTCGTGAGCGACCTTAAGCGCGAAATCACCGAGGCTTACGACGTCCTTTACGAAGACGGCACCGCGCTCCGTGGTTTGTACATCATCGATCGCGAAGGCGTCATTCAGCACAGCACCGTCAACAACGCTCCGTTTGGCCGCTCCGTCGACGAAACGCTGCGCGTGCTTCAAGCCATCCAGCACGTGCAAAACAACCCGGATGAAGTCTGCCCGGCGGGCTGGACCCCGGGTGCGGCGACGATGAAGCCGGATCCGAAGGGTTCCAAGGAATACTTCAAGGCCATCTAAGCTAAGCCAAGCGATACCACGAAGCACAGCGCGCTCGAGCTATTTTTTAACGGAGACGACAATAATCCGTGCATCGACACACCTCGGCCACCGTTACGTAAGATTACAACATAATCATCTAAGAAGTACGGCGCTCATCGTCCTCCCGCCGCGTCTCGCGCCCGCTTATCTTCGATTCTCTCCCGGAAATCTTCCACCATGAGCTTGAGCCCGTCCTCGAGCTTCACCTTCGGTTCCCAACCGCCTAATTTTTCCTTCGCGAGCGAAATGTCTGGCTTGCGCCGACTCGGATCGTCCGAGGTGTTCTCGCAGAACACGATTTCCGCGTTCGGGTTCACGACTTCGCGCACCTTCTCCGCGAGTTCGAGCATCGTGAATTCACCGGGGTTACCGAGATTCACCGGACCGACGAAGCCCGAGTCGTTGTCCATCAACGCGATGAGTCCGGCGACTAGGTCAGAGACGTATTGAAACGAGCGCGTCTGCGTGCCATCACCGTAGATTGTCATAGGTTTGCCCTCCAGCGCTTGCGCGACGAAGTTGGACACCACGCGCCCGTCATCCATCGCCATGCGCGGTCCGTACGTGTTGAAAATTCTCGCCACTCGAATTTCCAAACCGTGCTCGCGATGGTAATCGAACGCCAACGTTTCAGCGCACCGTTTGCCCTCATCGTAACACGCGCGTTCGCCGATCGGATTGACGTTGCCCCAGTACGATTCCGTCTGCGGGTGCTCGAGCGGATCGCCGTACACCTCAGACGTGCTCGTGAGCAAGAATTTCGCCTTGCACCGCTTCGCGAGCCCGAGCGCGTTCATAGTCCCCAAGACGTTGGTTTTGATCGTCTTCACCGGATTGAATTTGTAATGAATCGGCGACGCCGGGCACGCCAAGTGATACACTTCGTCGATCTCCACCAAGAACGGCGTCACGATGTCGTGTCGGATGATTTCAAACTTTGGATTCCCCTTCAAGTGCTCCAAGTTGCGCTGCGAGCCGGTGAAAAAGTTGTCCATGACGATGACTTCGTCGCCGCGTTTCAACAGCGCGTCGACGAGGTGCGACCCGACGAAGCCGGCACCACCGGTGACGAGCACGCGGCGGGGTTCACCGCAACGCGGGCGCGCCTTGGGCACGGTCGGAGGTGGCGAAGGCATCGAACGCAGACGAGCGCGCAATGCGGGTGTTCCGCGCGGCGAGACGCGCGCGCCGAAAGTCGCGCGCCTGTAACAATGCGAACGCGAGAAAACGCGCGAGACCCGGCGCTGATGGTTCGTAACCCGTCAAGAGTCCCTCGGGAATCGGAGACGGTATCGTATAGTGGTTAGTACCTTGCGTTGTGGAAACACATGGAATTCTGGCGCGTTAAATACGCGCACAAGTACACCTCAACAATACCGCAAAAACCGCGGCTCGAATCCGCGTACCGTCATACTTTTGCCCGACGTTGGTCTCGCTCGCGTCGTCGGACTTCGCGCTCGCGGCGCGCGGTCGCCACTGCAAACTAAGATGCGCTAGAATTACACTTTTACCTACGACGCGCCTGCGACGTCGCGAACGCTAGTCGCCCGCGACGTCTGTAGCCTCCGGTCACGAGCGAGCCTCTTCCTCCTCCTCCTCGTCGCTCGACTGCCCCGTGGCCTTGAGATACTCCGCCAACGCCTCGTCGCTCGCGCCCGAAACCCCGGCGAGGTTGCGCGGCCCCGTGCACATCTCCCAAAGCTCGCCGACGTCGAGCGCCGTGCACCACGCCGTCGGATACGTGGGAAACGACGTCTCCGTGTCCCCGCGCCCGGTGCGTTTCACCCCCGCGCGGCCGTTTCGCACGCACACGACGTATCCGTGCACCGCCCGCGTGATGAATCGACGCTTCGTCGCCGTCGAATCCGTCGTCGACGTCGACGTCGTCGCGCCGGCGTCCGACGCCGCGCCGGCGTCCGACGCGAACTTTTTCGATCGCGCCGGCAGCGGTGCCCCCACGCGCACGTCCACGCGCACGCGATCGCCGACTAGGATGCCTCTCTTCGCTAACTCTGCCGCCACGCGCTTCGCCTTCTCCGCCGCGCTCTCTCGAGGACGACCCGACTTTTCCTCACTCATGACGCCCGAGCCGTACGCGTCATCCATCGCCATCATCGCCTCGAACGCGTCGTCGGATTCCGGCGTCGCGTCCTCGCGCGCGTCCTCGCCGTCGGACGAGCGTCTTCGCCATCGCGGCGACGACGACGCGGCGTACGACGCGCTGGAGCGCTCGACGACGCCCCGGAATTCGCGCGCGACGCGAGACGCGCGCATCGAAGTGCCGTCGCGGCGTCGCGGCGCCATCGCGGCGCGCGCGGCGCGCGATCGCCGACATGGCCAAGGGGAAGCGAAGGAAAGAGCGCATTCGCGCGATGAAGCTCGCGGCGCGCGGCGCGGACGTGCGCATGGACGGCGACGCGGGGACGACGGCGCGCGGCGGCGGCGGTGGGACGGCGACGACGACGACGACGACGACGACGACGACGACGACGGGCGTCGCGACGACGACGACGACGGCGGACGACGCGACGACGACGGCGCGCTCGGCGCCCGTCGGGCGGAAACGCGCGCCGACGGTGCGCAGGGCGATCGCGAAGCGCAAGAGAGCCGCCCTGGACAAGGCGCTGTCGCACGTCGAGCGACGAGGCGTCAAGGCGGATAGGAAGAAACTCAAGCGCGGGCATCGCGTCGCGGCGAGGGACGTGTACTGAAGCAGAAATTCGCGGTCTCGCTCGCGCGCGCGCGCGCGCTCGAGGGAGCGATTGTACGTTAGACGATTTGTAAGACGACGCCGCTCGCGCGGCTCGACGCTCGCCGCGCCGCCTCGCACCACAACCCTACTTGAAGATCCGCAGTCTCGGACTCGCGCGCGACTCGATGTCCGCCGCGCTGTGCATAGGAAGAAAGTCCGCGGAAGACGTCGAGGACGCCGGGGAACTGCGACTCGGTCCCGATTTCGACGACGCCAACTGCTTGTCGCTCGCCGAGGTGAAGATCGTGTGCGAGTCGAAAGTCGCCGACGACGCCGAACAAGCGGAGGAGACGTCGACGACGCGCACGCGGGTGTTCGAGAAGACGTTAGCGTACGCGAAGCGGTTCAGCGGGAACACGAGCAGCACGGCGGCGGCGGCTATTCGGGAATTACACAACAATTCAGGGTTGCACGACTTTGAAGGCGCGGCGATCTCAAACTTGAAGCCGCAGGATTGGGACGAGGCGAAGACTTTAGTGCCGAGCTTGGAGCAGGAAGATCGCGGGTTGACCGAGGAAGGGATTCAAGCGATGTTAGACGAGATGTCGAACGTGCGGAAGTTCGAATGAAGTGGCCGTCCTCGCTTTGCTGTAAAACAATTAAATCGACTACGCACGAAAGCAGCGACTCGCCGCGCTACACCGCGTCCCCCCAACGAGCCCTGTCGCTCATCTCTACCCCGTCCTCGTCTTCGTCGTGTTTGAGCGAAAAGTACATGTTTTCTTCCTCCGGTCTGAACATGTAGCCCGTGGCGACGTAGTACGCCAGCGTCGCGAGCTCGTTGAAAAACGCCGCCGTCCAGCGCAACTCGTACTCCACCGTGGACTTGAGCAAGTAGACGATGATGCGAGTGAAGTAGATGTACGCCACGGTCATGACGTAAAAGTGACGGAACAGTAACAGCTTTTCCAAATTCCTCGCCTTCTTCTCGCTCGAATCCGAGGTGTCGCGCAAGTGCTTGATGCTCCACACAATCGGCACCAACACGGCGCAGCAGCACATGATGTCGATGACGATGAACATGTTTTGCCACGCGAACCAGCCTTGATCGGCGGGACCTTCTTCGCCTATCACGACCGCGGCTATGTTGGCCAGCACTTGGAGCGGGATCACGGCCATGAGCAAATTCTTCTCGCGCTGGTGCAAAAACGGCTTCAAGAAGCTCCACCCCATGCCCACGAGGGCGATGACGCTAAACATGAGCATCGACCGACAGACGGTGAAGACGTAGTACGCCGCCGTCCATCCACGCGATGACCCAGTGAGTCGCGTGATGTGATACCGCCCCGCCTGCGCGAGCACGGAGAGCGTCTTGAAACACACGAGCGCGAGCATGAGCCAGTGAATCTTTCGCACGCCGCGCTGCCCGTTCGCTCGACCGAGAATGAACGCCCACGCCACGGCCGCGCACGTGTCCAACAAAAAGAACAAGTAATACACGCTCGGTAACGACTTCTCGCCCGCTCCCAAGTAATCATTACGCCCCCTGGCGTCTTTATTCGCAAACGTCGTCGTGATCTCAAACGACACCACCGTGTGCGGCGCGCAGCTGGCGAAAAACAGCATGTAATCCCCCGGCACCTTTATCTCCTTCATGAACTCGTACGAACTCACCTCCCGCTCACCCTTCTTCAACTGCGCGTCCATATCCGCGAACGTGAACGCCTGATCGACGAAATCCACGTCCAACACGCACGCCCCGTCCTCGAGCGCGGCGTCGAGCGCGCCCTCGTCCTTGGCCTCGGTGATGAAAAACCCGAGCTTTGTCTTATCCAGCGGCGGCGCGTGTTCGGGCAGGTACACGCGCGATTCTTTCAGCGCGATCTCCATCGTCCCCCCCACCGCGAACCCGAACGGTTCGCGCAGTAAAATCAAGCTCCTATCGTCCTTGGACACCTCGTACGTCGCGATCCGCGCCTCCGCCGTCGCCGCCGTCATCGCCACCGCCACCACCGCGCACGCCGCGCCCAGCGCCGCCCGCGCGACGCCCGTTCGTCCTCGCCGCACCATCGCGCGCGGTGATCGCGCCGGTCGAGATCCGCGCCGTCGCTCGCGTCGATCGATCGAATCCAATCCAATCCAATCGAACGCCGCCTCGGGCGCGCGAATCGGAATTCGACGCGCGCGTCGCGCGCGCGCGCGCGATCCGCCCCCGTCGCGCGCGCGCGCGTCGTATCCGCGTCGTCGCCGTCGCCGCGATCGAATCGCGTCGCGAACTCGCGCGCCGCGCGCGCCGGACGCGACGGACGCGTCGCGCGCGCGCACACCCGGAAGCGACGACCGGCGCGCCCGACCCTAAACCCTAAATACCCGGAAGTGACGGGACGACCGACGACCGCATCCAGGGTGCCTCGTCCGCGCGCGCGCGACGGCGTCGCACATCGCGACTCGACGCGACGCGCGACCGACGCGACGGGGCGCGACGCGGCGACGACGACCCGGCATGCGACGCGCGTGGGAGGAACTCGCGCGACGCGCGACGCGCGACCGAGGACGCGACGCGCGATGGGCGATGACGACGACGACGACGACGACGACGACGGATCGCGCGGTGACGGCGCGCGCGACGCGATTCGCGACGACGGCGGCGCGTGGACCGGAAATGAAATGGCGATGCGTCGGAGCGCGCGCGATGGGAGCGCCGAGGACGCGCGCGTGCGCGTGCGCACGGTGCGCGGGCGAGCGAGGCGCGCGCGCGAGGGAGGGTGCGCGCGCGGGGGCGTCGACGGGGGGGGGGAAGGGACGGACGTTCGCGTCGTCGACGAGCGAGGCGAGCGCGCGAGCGGCGGAGGTGGTGCGAGATGAGGCGAGCGAGGCGGCGAGCGCGAAATTAGCGGCCGCGATGGCGCGGAGCGCGGACTCGTACATGCTGTTTCACCCGCAGTACGACTTGCGACAGGTGGAAAACGTGAAACCGGCGCATCGACAGCCGAGACACGTGCGCGATTACTTGGCGTACGGGTTGGTGCAATTCTCGCGATGGTCGTTCGATAAAGTCACCGGGTACACGCCGAAGAAATCGCTCACCACGGATGGATGGTTGATGAGATTCATCTTTTTGGAAACCGTCGCGGGGGTGCCCGGCATGGTGGGCGCGATGCTGCGACACATGATGTCTCTGCGCACGCTCAAGCGCGATCACGGTTGGATTCACACCTTGCTCGAGGAAGCGGAAAACGAACGCATGCACTTGCTGACGTTCCTGAAGCTTCGCGAACCAGGGCTGATGTTTCGACTCGCCGTCCTCGGCGCGCAAGGGGTGTTTTTCAACGCCTTTTTTCTGTCGTATCTGATTTCTCCGCGAACGTGCCATCGATTCGTGGGGTATCTTGAAGAGGAAGCCGTGCGCACGTACACGCACGCGTTGCACGACATCGACGGCGACGGTCCCGCGAGCGAATGGGCGACGATGCCCGCGCCCAAGCTCGCGATTAAATACTGGCGAATGCCCGACGACGCCACGGTGCGCGATTTAATCATCGCCGTGCGCGCCGACGAAGCGTCGCACTCCCACGTCAATCACACCCTGTCTTCCATGGGTATTCGACAAGCCAATCCGTTCCACGTCGGTCACACCGAGTTGCCGGAGAATTTCGTCGAGCCGCCTGCGGGCTTCGTCCCGGAACACTGCCGTTAAGAGACGCGGACGAATCCCGCGCCTCGAATTTCGCGTCGGGGCGGCTGAAACGCCCGTCGGGGCGGCTGAAACGCCCGGCGCGTCGATTACAACAAATTTCAATTCACTGTATCCATCTCCTCGCACGCGCAGCGCAGCAATAGCAATTAATCACCGTTTTTAATTTTTAAATTTTAAGAGCGCATCATTCGTTCGTTCGTTTGGCGGAGGACGAGAAGACGAGCGCCGCGGTTTTATTTTTCTTCGTCGTTGCGTAAATGTATTCACAAAGGTTCGGGGGACGAAAGAAACGGAAATCAAAACGATCGATCGACGAAACTCCGCCTAACGCCGCCTTTGTCCGCGCGTCGCGAGACGCGGCACGACGCTTATTCTGTATATAAAGTAAACTCGAGAAGACGACGTCGCGTTCCGGCGACGGCGGCGTCGGACGCCGCGTTCGTTTCCATCGACGACGCAGCGAGCCAATAACATCAGCCCTTTCGCTGCGTCGCGTCACGTACGTACGCGCACATCCTCAACCATCGCGTTGAACCTCGTCGTCTTCGTCCCGTCAAAGTCATCGCGCGCGTCTACAACGCCGCGATTTCCTTCAACATGTTGTCGATGCACGACGCCTCCGGTCGCGCGTCTCCCGCGGGATCGTCCGGCGCTTCGCTCACGTTCAGCACCTTGATCACCCCATCGTCGACGTACATCGCGAAGCGTTTGCATCGCTTCGGTCCGAGCTTCGCGCACGGTCCGGGCGCGACGAGCTCCACGTCCAGCGCCTTCGTGATCACCGAATTCGGATCCGCGAGGAACGAAATGTTTGACCCTTGAATCTTTTGATCGATCGCCCACGCCCCCATGACGGCGGCGTCGTTCACGCACATCACCAGCACCTCATCGATCCCGCTCGCGCGCAGCGCGTCCTGCCCCGCGAGGTATCCCGGGACCTGACACGTCGATCACGTCGGCGTGAACGCGCCGGGCAGGCCGACGACGAGCGATTTTTTACCGGCGAGACGCGCGCGCATCTTCACCGGCGTCGGCCAGGAGGGCTCGTGCGATTGCGCGACGACGTCGGGGAATTGGTCGCCGACGGCCACCATCGCGAGCGGCGGGAAGTCGACCGCGCGCGCGAGTGACGACCGAAGGCGAACGATCCGTGGGCGATCTCGTTGGACGGACACCCGGGCCCCGGGCAACCGACCGGGGGCGCGAGACGTCCATCGCGACGAGACGCGCGAGATCGAACGGCGATGGACGACGCAAAGGAGTGCGTGTATGATTATATATTTATCTTATTAACCGTAAATAGAGTCATTCGTAGACGCATGTCACGTCGCGCGCCGGAACGGAACGCGGCGGAACGTTGGTTTCATCAATACGGATTGATGTATCCGGGGCACTGATTCCAGTTGGGCTTCAAGTCCTTCTTGATCTCGTCCGGTGCAAACTCAGTGACGCAAACGTGCGCGAAGAGCAAGGCGAAACCGGGATCGATGCCGGGCTTGGTCGTGATCTCGTGCGGGTACTTGGAAATCCAACCGCCGCGGAGCTCGGCGGTGAAGGCGGCGCACTCCCACTTCAAGTCGGAGCCTTCGCAGCAGAAGAGATCGAATCGATCGATCGTCGTCCCATCGGCGGTCTTGATCTTGTACGAAATCTTCGTCACGTACTCCTTGTCGGTGACGTTCACATTCCGACGTTGGTGTCCTTGTTCGTCTCTGGTATAGTGCACCGACACTTGACGCGTGCAGTAGCCTTTGGCTTTGATCTTCACCGAGTACGCCCCGCCCGGGGTCTTCACCGACTTCAACTTGGCCTCGGAAAACGTGCGCCATTTCATAGAGTAAAACCTGTTCTCTCCCATCTGCATCTGTTGCATCATCTGCTTGAACATGTTCGTCACGGTTCGAACGTTGGGGTTATCGTCGCCGTCGTCCTCCGAGTCGGCTCCGAGCGACATCCCCATATCAAAGTGCGGTTTTTCGTTGTACTTCAACTTCCACAGCACTTGCCCTTTCTTCTTATCGTTCGGGTCGATTCGCGTGTAGTTTTCCAAGTCAATGTACCCAGTCGGGTCGAAGAAACCCTTCCCTTCGCGATTCAGAAACAGCCAGCGATTGTTCGGTCCCACTTCGTCTCGATAGACTTCGTAGTCCTTGTTGAACATCGAGCACGACTTGACGACGAATTTGCTCGGTCCCTGGTGGCGCGTCGCGCGTTCGTCTCGTCGTCAGTCGTTCGTCGCGTCGCGTCGCGGCGCGCGCGTTCACTCGTTCGCCACGACGCATCCATCATCGCGCGCGACGTCCGATTCGATTCGACGGCGCCTCGGCGCGACGCGCGCGCGTCCGAGCGCGCACCTCCGGGTCGGCGATGATGTTCGCCGGCACGTCCGGCGTGCTCTCGCATATGCTCGCGCACGCGCCCATGGCGACGACGACGACGCGACGATGCGATCAATGCGGCCATTTCTAGCTCGAGTTGCAATAGCGCCCAACTTCACTCTTCGACCCCATGGCGCGTCCTCGCGTCCATCTCACTCGCGTCGCGCCCGCGTCACCGCGCGCGTCGCGTCGCGCCGAGCGTCACCCGTCTCGCGCGCGACGAATCGCGTCCGCGTCCGCGTCCGCGTCCGCGTCCTCGTCCCCGTCGCTGCTCTTTGCCACCTCCGCCGCGCTGGAGCACGTGCAGTTGGGGCACCCGGAGAGCAACGCTCGCGTGCCCGCCATCTTAGACGCCCTCGAGGCGGGCGCTCTGACCCCCGCCGCGAGACCGGGTGAGGTGTTGGAGATCACAGACGTCGTGCCGGCGACGAAAAAGGCGCTCGAGCGTGTGCACGCGAAGAATTACTGCAACGGGCTCGAGTTGTTGTGCGCCACGCGAGCGCCGACGAATTTAGACACCGCACCGACGTACTGCACGCCGTCGAGCTTTCAAGACGTGATGCTAGGCGTCGGTGCGGCGACGCGATTGGTGGATGAGGTGATCGATCGCGCGAAGGAGACGAAAGAAAAGGCGCCGAGCGCGTTTGGTTTGATACGCCCACCGGGACACCACGCGGTGCCGCGAGGGGCGATGGGATTTTGTTTGGTCGGCACCGCGGCGGCGGCGGCGAGACACGCGCAGCTTAGAGGGCATAAAAAAGTGCTCATTTTCGATTACGACGTGCACCACGGTAACGGTACGAATGATATTTTCCGAGACGACGATTCCGTGCTGTTCATCTCCACGCACGAGGACGGGAGCTATCCGGGGACGGGGAAGATTACGGATATGGGCGAAGGCGATGGTCTGGGTGCGACTATTAATATACCTTTGCCTCCGGGAAGCGGTGATAAGGCGGTGTTGAGCGCTTTGGAAGAAATCGTCGTTCCGGCGGCGGCGCGGTTCCAACCCGACTTCATCATCGTCAGTGCCGGCTACGACGCGCACTGGCGAGATCCTCTCGCTGGGTTGACGTTTCGCACGGGAACGTACCATCGTCTTTGCACAAAGTTGAAAGAACTGGCGAATGAGATGTGCGGCGGGAAAATCGTGTTCTTATTAGAGGGCGGGTATGATTTGGTGGGTTTGAGCGAAGGCGTCGCGGATTCTTTCCGCGCGCTCTTGGGCGACGCCTCAACGGACGTCGGCGAGATTCCCGGGCTGAGAGACGAGCCCGATGATAAAGTGCGAAATGTTCTCACCGAAGTCAAGGCGATGCATCAAGTTTAGATCGCGATGGATTGTTTTATTTTATTTTTTAATGCTGCTGCAGCGCGACTTGATTTGCTTTTCAACGCGGTGCGGTCACGCGCGAATCGAAGACTCGGATACAATCTCGCAATCCTCACCGTTCACTGCGAGAGTCGACAAGCGTAAGGATTGCGCCGAGCGCGTGCGCACATTGAATCCGATCCGCTTCGTGGAGTACAACGCGATGTACGCGTCGTATCCGCGATCGCGCAACTCGAAGACGCGACCGTCCTCCGGCGCGTACATCGTGCGCGCGTCCGCACCGTACGCGCTACTTGAGTATAACACAACACCATCGCGCGCAAACTTGAACAAAATCTTCCACCCGCCGCTGATGCTTTCACCCGATGCGAGCACGATGTAAATGTCCATGCCAAACTCTGAAGATCCGTCTGCTTGCGGGCTCTCCCATCGAATATCCGTTCTCGCGACGCACCGCGGTTGATTCGGTGGCGGTGGCGAAAGTGGCGGTGGCGAAGGCGGCGGAGGCGAAGGCGGCGGCCGTTGTAAAGGTGGGGAAGTCGTCGACGCCGGCGCCGGCGTTGAAGTTGTCGGGTCGTTCACGGCGTTGAAGTTGTCGGGTCGTTCTCTCTGACGTTTGGCTAGAAATTCAACGACAGGATTCTCTACGATCTTACCCTCGATTTCGATGCTTTCGCGCGCCAACGCCTTCAACATCAGCGTCGACGTTGATTCCAACACTTCCATCGCCTGTCGCCTCGCTTCGTACGTTAGCTCTTCCTCGCGCGCCAGCGTCGTCGCCGCCCGCGCCGCGGCCTCCATCGAAACCTTCCCGCGCGCGCTCGCGTCGAAATCCAAGTCCGCGCACACGCCCCATTTTCCGTCCTCCTCCGCCACGCACCACAGCGCCCCGTCTCGTCCGTAGGGCACGCACTCGTTCACGAAGACGTCCTCCGCGAGCTCCAGCGGCCATTTGCACGAGCGGCCGTCCGCGGTGAACGTCGTCGCGCGCGCGCCCTCGATCGCGAGCGCCGTCGAGACGACGAGCGCCGCGCGCGCGATCGTCCGCGCGCGCTTTTTCGCGCGCGCCATCGCGCGATCGAGCGTCGTCGCGGCGTCGAGTGAGGCACGAGGATAAGAACAGTCACAAAAACAGTCACAAAAGGCGAACAGTCACACGATCGCCGCGCGACGGCGAAAAATTTCGAGTTCAAACCGCGCGCGCGCGCGAACCGCGACGCCGCAGCGCGTCGCGCGCGCGCGTCGGCATGCGCGCGGACGAATCGCTCGAAAGCGCGTGCGTGCGCGTCGTCCTCGGACTCGTGGGTAAGCGCGCGCGGACGCGCGGCGGTGCGGATGAGAAGGCGAGCGCGAGCGGGACGGCGTCGTCGTTCGACGCCGCGCGGTGTCGCGAAATCGTGCTCGAACAGCACGCGAAGCGCAGAAAGGTGAGAGGAGGACGCGTGGGTTCGGTGCGCGGCGTCAGAGACGCCGACGTCGATGATTTCGACGAGGACGACGAGGACGAGGATGATTACGCGCGCTTGACGGAGGCTGAAGTCGAGCGCGTGTTGCTCGCGATGCAAGACGCGATGGAACGAGAACTCGCGAACGAAGAGCGATTGATGAGCGAGCGCGCAGAGGTAGAATATCGCGAAGACGAGGAAGAACAGGAGCGGTTGACGCGGGCGATTGAGGCGTTTGAGCGATGGAAATTTCCCGAGGCGGAGGACGTCGGCGAGAACGCCGAGTCGAGCGGCGAAGACGTCTTGTGTCCGGTGTGCGCCACGAGACGGGTGCTTTACAACAGGCACGTGTTATTTTGCGCGTGTGGGGACTTTAGAATCGCGCGTGCCGATGAAAACGTAGGGTTGACGTACTTGAAGCGACGTTTGGCGGAGACATTTGAGGCACACGTCTCACGCGGGTGCGGCAACGCTGGTGGGCTTCGGTTTAGCGTGCGCGATGAGTACGGTTTAGATGCGTGCGTCGCAAAGTGTGAAAGGTGTTCGTTTTTAGAGATTGTGATGTAGATTGTAGAGTGCGTAGAGATTACTTGCTTCTCGTGTTTTACAGCTCGCGCGCGTTGCGTACTACTTTGCGTTCAGTGCTTCCTTTTCATCCCTCGCGGTGATAATCAAAGCAAATATATCTTCATCCGTCAACTTGTCTTCGTTGTGAAGTCGGCGAATGTGGTGCGCGATATTTTCATCGGTGTAGCCGAGCGCGACGCCGACCAAGGCTTGCTGAAACGCTCCTGCGATGTTTCGCGTCGCCTGAACGCCCATGGAGACGAGCACGTTCGCGGTTTCCTTGGCGGTCTCGCGATAAATTACCGCTGTGATGCCGTTGGAGAACTCGGGGTTACCATCTTTATCCTCTCCCACTTGATACCTCGCTTCTGAAAGTCTCATTGAAATAGACGCATCCTGCGTCAACATGTCCTCAAGCGTCGCCGCTGCGAACGGGGCGCGAACGCTATCTTCGAGCGCATCCGTCCAGTCGCACACGATTTGCATCAACACCACATCTCGGTGACCGTGTTTCAGCGCCAAGAGTTCCCCCGTCATCTTCGTCGCGCTCTCCGTGGGGTCCTTGATGACTCGCCTCGAGTGCGCGCCGTCGCCCTCCGTCCAAAAGCGCGGGTTCTTCTTCACCGCTTGTTCTAACCCATTCAACGTCAGCGCCTTATCCACGCTCGAAACCAGCGTTAAAGCATCGCTTTCCCGTTCGACCCGTCGCTCGTACGACTTAATCGCGCGTTTAAACTTGTCCGCGTCTCGCACGTTTTTCAGCCTCGTCAGCGGCGTTCGCTCGTCCAGCAACGCTCCCGAGATCCCAATCCGCGCCTGATTCGCCCCGCCCTGATCCAATATCTGCGCCTTCTTCCCCTCTAACTCACCCTCGACGAGCTGTCGTCCACCCGTGCTCATCCCCACTCGCTTCACGACGAACCACCGCAGCGCGTCTCGCGTCTCGTCTTCATCCGCGCGATCGCGTCCGCTCCCATCCGCCGCTTCCGCGGTGACGCGCAGCAAGTCCCCGACCGTGGCCATCTCGAGCACCTCGCGAGATCGCGCGACGACGGGATCCAGGTCTTCGCTTCCGCTCGTCATCGTCGCCGTCGCCGTCGAAGACGATGTCGTTGACGATGACGATTGATTCGCGCGGTGCGGCGGCATGAACGCGTCCATGCCGTCCGACATCGCGCGCACCGTTCCCGCGCGCCTCGATCGACGCGTCACGCGCGTCGATCGCGCGAACGCGGCGTCGCGCGCGACGCAACGAAGCGATGTCATGACGATCGCGTCCCGCTCGAAATATCTCCCGCGCGTCACTCAATGAAGCGCGCCGCGCGCGTCGGCGCCTGCGTCTCCGCGTTGGTGGCGCTGATCGCGATAACATACGACGCCGCGTGCGTCCGCCCCGCCGTCGAGCGCGCGTTCGCGAGCGATGCGGCGCGCGCGAAGGCGATGAAAACGCTCGGGCTGGTAACGGCCGCGAACGAACGACGCGACGCGCGCGACGCCGCGCGCGTGCGCGTCGAAGCGCGAAGGGCGTTTCGAAGAAAAGCGTTAGAGCATCATCCCGATAAGCGCGCGCGCGGGACGAGCGCGAGGGAGTTCGTGGACCTGGTGCGCGCGCTGGAGACGCTCGCGCCGAGGACGCGCGGCGAACGCGAACGCGAACGCGCGGGGGAGCACTGCGCGACCGCGGTCGCGAAGACGGCGACTCGGATGCGGTCAGTGATCATCGAGCGCTTGCGCGACGCGCGACGCGTTGGGAAGTGGATGGGATCGATGGGAAGACGAAGCGCGCGAGTGGACGCCGGAACGCCGGAACTGGAATCGCCGCGACACGACGACCGGGACGACGACGACGACGACGACGCGAGCGTCGACCTCGAATCGTTCTGGAACAGGGCGAAGTTATTATTAGACGACGATTTAGACGACGATTTAGACGTAGACGTAGACGTAGACGACGCAGAAGACGACGATTCGCCGTATCCGCGAGCCACGGCGCTGTAATACCAAAAAACGGCGGCGGCGGCGGCGCACTTCGAGACGCGTCCGCTTCCCGCGACGCTCTGCGAAAGCGAAGCGCGCGAACGTCGAAGTAGAAAACGTAACGCACGACGCGATGGGGTCGCAAAATCGCACGAACAAGGCGCGCACGAAGCGCGAGGCGGTGCCGAACAACGCGAAGGCGCGCAAACAAATCGCCAAGTTGGAGAGCGCGAAAAAGCCGGGAATCACGTACGCGCAGAAACGCAAGGCTGAGAAGGCGGCGCGAGACACGTTGAAAATGTCTGGGAACAGCGCGCGAGCGTCGAACGACCAAGCGATGCGACGGGAAGGTGGGGTGAAATACGGGGCGTTGGAAGTCAGGTACAGGGCGCTCGCGAAGAAGCTGCGGCAGATTGAAGACTTGGAGCGAAAGCGAAGCGAGGGCACTCGCATGGATGCGCAACAGACGAAGAAGCTGAAGCGTAAGGAGTACTTGGAGGCGGAGATGAAGAATTTGGAAAAGTTAATCTCTGGCGAGGCCGGGGACGAGGAGGAAGAGGACGAAGGGGAAGACGACGAAGAAATGTCCGAGGAGGACGAAGAGGAAGATGACGACGACGACGACGACGACGAAGAGGAGGAAGAAGACGAGGATGATGAAGAGGAGGAAGAGGAAGACGAGGACGAAGACGAGGAAGAGAGTTCAGAGGAAGAAGACGAAGACGAGGACGAGGAAGAAGACGATTCGGAATCAGAATGAAGCGTCGAGAGTTGCATTGCAATGCTAATACCTATCATCACTAGAGAACGCCAGAGTTGACGAGACTGTCGATGAAGTTTGAGTTGAATTCTGTTTCGCTGAAAATGTCACTACGCGCGCGCGCGCGCGCTGAAATTTCCTCCCGCTCGGTTCGGCGCATGAGCAACAAGTGCTCGAGCGTTTCGGCGAAGGTCGCGAAGGTTGCGAAGGTCTGCGCAACCTTGCGTTAGAAGGTGCGGCGCGTTCGGTCATCGAAGGATCTCTTGAATCTTTGCCTACTCGAGCTCCTTACGAAGTTTTGAGAATCATGAGCCTCGTCCTCGAGAATCTTTGCATGTCTGCAAGCGGCAACCACGAGTTGCGCATTTGCCTGAAAGAGTGGCAAAATGTGCTTGAAGCAGCGAGACGCCAAGGAGATTGGGCTTTGCAGGCAAAAGCGGTGTGCGATCGACTGCAAAACTCGCTTGGCGAAATTTCTCAGCGCTATATTGACGCACTTCAGCCGACGGCACAGAGCATGGGAAACAAGCTCGGTGTGGATGGACACGTGCTCGACCTGTTCTCGGAAGAAATCATCCGTGGAACTGCAGCGGCGCCACTTTCTCAAATGCTCAGAGTTCTCGACCCAGTTATTCGTAATGTTGCGAACATGGGCAGCTGGCAAATCGTCAGTAACGCCGAGTGTAGTGGCGTGATTGTTTCGGTCGCATCCCTCGCCGATGTGCAAAATGTCAAGTATTCTCAACCGACTGTCATTATTGCCGACCGCGTTGGTGGCGAAGAGGACATTCCGGTTGGCGTGGTCGCGATCGTTACTCCTGATATGCCAGATGTGCTGTCTCACTGCGCCGTTCGCGCCCGTAACGAAAAGGTTCTTTTCGCTACTTTGTTTGACGTGAATGTTCTAGAACAGATGAAAGCCATGACCGGGAAATCCGTGCAACTCAAGCCGTCTGCGCAGGGCGACGATTTGCAATTCGATGTTGTCGACGGCATCATCGGTACCGACGCGGAGGTCATAGCAACATCGTCGAGCGATTCCGTTTCGAGTGACATATCGATCATCAAACGTCCGTTTCAAGGAAAATTTGTCGCCACGTCATCAGAGTTTACCCCAGAGCTTGTCGGCGGCAAATCTCGAAACTTGCAACTCCTTCGCGGTCGAGTCTCAAACCTCATAAAGTTACCGCCGTCCGTTGCGATGCCTTTTGGTACGTTCGATGCAGTTCTTGATGTCCCTGAGAATGCAGGCGCAAAGAGACAAATTGCAGAGTTAGTCAAACAACTTGAAGCGTACGACTCCACAGACGGCGTTGGCTTCAAAGCACTCATTGCGGAAGTCAAGGCATGTATCGCCACTTTAAAACCGACGGCCGACCTGTCGAAAAGTTTGAAAGTCGCCTTCGAAGCCGAATCACTCGGTTGGCCGGGAGATCTCGTGACGAGCGCTCAAGGTCAAAAGGCATGGAAGACGATTCTTGGCGTATGGGCAAGCAAGTACAACGAGCGAGCCGTTTTGAGTTGCAAAAAGGCAGGGCTGAATCACGCCGATTTGTCCATGGCTGTGCTTTGTCAGCCCGTCGTTCGTGCGCGATACGCATTCGTACTGCACACAGTGAATCCACAAAACAACGACAAGAGCGAAATTTACGGTGAGCTTGTGTGTGGTCTGGGCGAAGCGCTCGTCGGTAACTTTTCTGGTCGAGCATTGTCATTCAAGACATCCAAGAGCAATTTGGATAATCCGACCGTCGTCGGGTTCCCTTCGAAGTCAAAAGGACTTTTCATGGAGCAAGATTCACTTATTTTCCGATCCGATAGTAACGGCGAAGACCTGGAAGGGTTCGCCGGTGCGGGCTTGTACGATAGCATCACCATGGAGGAGGCAACGTTGAAAAACGTCGACTACTCCACCGACAGCCTCATTACGGACGAAACCAAGCGACAAAAGCTTTTAGCGACCATCTCCAAGGTTGCACTAGAGATTGAGACACTTTGTGGGTCTCCTCAAGACATTGAGGGCGCGATATCTGAAGATGGGCAGCTCTACATCGTTCAAACGCGACCTCAAGTGTAGATGCCCGCGCGCGCGGGCACCCATCAAGTATACATCTGCAACGCGCTTCAATTAGTAGTTATTGTAAACTTAACGCACGCTAATGATAACGTGAAAGTGAGTCCGAATTTTATTTGACAAAACCGCTATCGAACCGTGATGTACGTACAGTAAATGGAGTGTTGTTATAAGCGCAAGATGCGAGTTTTAAGGCGACCGAGTTACGTGTCAAATCACGCGACGGTTCCAATCTTCGCGTCTGGAGAGAGATATTTCTTCAAGACGTTCGGAGGGTGGAGCATGTTGAACTCTTCAGTGGCATCCTTTCCGGCGAAGAGCATGATCGCTTTCTTTCCACCTGGATGATCGGGCAAGAAAGTCGTGAGATCGTAAACGGCGCCCTCGATGATGACCCAGAGGTCGCCCTCGGAGTTGTGCTTCGCGATTTCATCCATGGTGATAGCGCGAGCACCGCCACCGCTAGACACTGGCGCGGCGGACGCCGTGCTCATGGATGGGTTGATCTTGTCGTTCAAGTTAGCGACGCGATTAAGAGCGACGGATTGACCAGATCTAAGCGCCTTGATAGCCGTCGCCATGAGGTGTCGAGAAACTGAGGCACCCGCGACGCGACCAAAGACGACGCAATCCAACAGAGAGTTACCACCGAGTCGGTTACGGCCGTGAATACCCCCAACGACCTCGCCCGCACCGTATAAACCAGGAATCGGTCCTGACGACCCGACGATTTGCGAATCAGTGTTGATGGCGAGTCCACCCATGGTGTAGTGCACGACGGTGCACACGATGGCGGAGTGAAAGAAATCATTCATTTCGAACGGAGCGTTGGTGAAAAACTTTTTACCGAACGGACACTTCTTCGTTCGAGCGGCTTCGTTGTACTTGGCAAAGGTGTCGGCGAGCTTTTGTGGACTGATGCCCATTTCTTTTGCAACTTCGGCACCCGTATCGTGACGCTTCATGATGCCTCGCCCGACGTAATGCTTGCAGTGCCATTCGATCTCCTTTGAAGCCTTGCCGTTCAGAATCAAACGGAAAGGCCCTTTGTTTCTGTTCATTTCACCACTGACGTAGTCTCGTCGACCGAGCTCATCGGCGAATCTGTTCCCGTCTGCGTCCAGGAGGATGCCTCCGACGCCTCGAAGCGCCTCGGCGGCTAAGAACTTCACCTTGGAATCTGGCTCTGAAGGGTTGACTAATCCGGTAGGATGCACTTGCACAGACTCCATATCGATCGTATCCGCTCCGACGGCCAAGGCCATCTTGATTCCATCCCCCGTGCAGTGGTCACCGTTCGTCGTCGGCAGCGCCTGCAAGTCGGGTCGGTACTTTTTCAACAACGAGTCTGACTGGTAATCCGCACCGAAACCACCGGTAGCGATGACGACTGGACCGTACTCTTGATGTAAAGCGCCACCCTTCTCGTATTCCACCCCGATCACGGTACCACTTCCGTCCTTTAGCAACCGCTTTGCCTCGGCTTTGGTCACGATTCGCGCAATTTCCCCATTCGTCTCCTCCATAATCTTCTCCAACCCCTCCATCAGGGCGTACGTGATCGTGAACCCTGGGAACCGCTCTTTGCCTCGATGCGTTCGCGGGAACGAGTGCCCACCGAGCTGCGCGACGAGGGACAAGTCAAGGTTAAACTTTTCCATCAACCAATCCACGCTCGAACCGCTTCCTTGCGCCAGCACCTTTGCGAGCGGCACCGTGTGTGCCGGCGCTTCGGTGTGCCCGACGCCCGCCGCGCCCTTGATGATATCATCTTCAAACTTATCAGCGCTGTCGGGAATGTTCAACCGCGCCTGCGTCTTCGTCAACGCTCCGTTAATCCCACTCGTCGCCTTCGTGCTGTTCCCGCCCAGGAAGGAACATTTGTCGAGCAACACGACGCGCGCGCCGTGTTCGATGACGGTGTGCGCCGCGGACAGGCCCGCGAGACCACCGCCGATGACGATGACTTGATCAGCCATGTCGACGGCGAGTCTGACGACGCACGACGACGCGTTATGACGACGAACACGCGCCGCAATCCGATCGCGATTATTTTTAACGACCTCGCGATGGGACGTCGGTCGAGGTTCGCGAACCGCGCTCGGCACCGGGACGAGATTTTAGAGACTGTGCTCGACAAACGACGCGATGAAGTCGTCGAGGGGGGAGAGAGTGGAGCGAAAACGACGCGATGACAACACAAAAATAGTATAATGTTACATCACGCCGCGAGCTCTGTCGCGAGCGCGCTCAAGAGGACGTCGCACGCGTCTTTGGACGTCGTCGGCGCGCACATGAGGTAGACGACGTTACCCAGAGGACGCGCTTGGATGGAGTGGGGAAGAAGACGCATGACGACGTCTCGAGCGGCGTTGGAGCTATAACCACCTTCACCTTCGACCTCGAGCTCGACGGCGAGGACACAACCCTGACCGATGACTCGGCGAACGTTGCTCAAAGTGGAAATTTTCTTCAACGCGTCCTCGTCCCAGAGCTCGCGAAGCACCGACGTAGGCTCGCCCGTACTCGAAGACTTTGAGACGATCACGTTGCGATTTTTCGCGGGGTCTTTGTACATAGAAAGCGCTTTCGCCGCCACGGCGCATCCCATGGGGTATGCCGTGTACGAGTGCCCGTGTAACAAGCCCTGGGCTTTTCCAGGGCCGTAAAAAGCGTCGAAGACATCCGCCGTCGCGAGCGTGGCTGACATGGGAATGAGCCCACCAGTGAGAAGTTTTGCGTAGCACGAAATATCGGGTTTTTCGCCTATGATTTCCCACGCACCTTCCGTGCCTAATCGCCAAATGCCAGCAAATACCTCGTCCAAGACGACTGGAATCTTTCGCTCGCGGCACGACTTCATGAGAATGTTTTGAAACAACGGATCAATCAAAACCATCCCACCTGCACCGTGAAGCACGGGTTCCATGATTAAAGCCCCGACGTGACCCATGTTATTATCCTTGGCGTCTTTCGCGGCGCGTTCTAAGACTTTGTCGATCGCAATTTTGTATTCTTTTGCGAGCGGGCTGTCGAGACGCGCAGCGATGTTGAAAGCCGCCTCCTTGCTAGTCCAACTGGTGTTCTCATCCACATCTTTGCCTTCGCGGAAGAGTCGATCGCCGTCGTTCAATAATCCATCACGCGGCAACGCCACGTTCCAACGTCCTTCTCTGATCGCTAAACTCGGAGGCTGAAGGAACAGTCCGCGAGGTTGGTACCAGGGCGTTTGCATTGGACCCGTAAAAACGCTCGGTGATTGCATATCCATCGCACCGAGAGTATCACCGTGATACGAACCATCCAATGCTATTATTCGCAGCGGAGGTAAGTCATCGGCTCCTTTGTTGACGAGATCTTTCGCTCTCTGATTGCCGTCTTTAGACACAAAGCCTGCGTCGACGTAAAACTTGCGAAAAGCCATTTTCAACCCAACCTCTGTCGCAGTCGATCCGTTGTCGGAATAAAATGCTCTAGCTGCCCAACCTTTCCCAGGTCCTTCTAATAATGCCGTCGTCGCGTCCACGGCGGGCTGGTGCACGTTTTCTGGAAACATCGCGTGCCCGAATCGTCCCGCCGCATGCGTCGCGGTGCGAACCAACTCTTGCTGCAATTCTGGACTCAAACCTTGCGTCCACCAACTCGCTGAACCATCAAAGCGAAGTACTATGGAGCCATCTTTCGATGAGTGCGTGTTTTGGGCGTAGATTGCGAAATCTTCACCATATCTCCCATCGATCACCGTGACGGCGTCGCGCTCCACCATCGCGTGCTGCGTAAACGGCCACCAAATCTTCGTCAGAGCCTCGTCTGGAAGACTTTGCAGAGTTTTGATGCGATCGTCGTGCCATTTTGTGATGTATTTCAGTAAATCGTCGAACGTGTGCTTTGAGTCTTCGAGCCAAGCGTCCGCTTGTCCTTCTGGGGGCAGAGGCGGAAGCGCCCAGACGCGGGTTTCGCTCGGCAAAATCTTTGCCATGGCTTTGTGATTGGCCAAACCATCATCGTCCGCCATGACGATGGCGACGATGTCGTACCCTCTCGCGTGCAGTGATTCGTACGCGGCCGTGGTGGCAGATATCCCGCCCAAACGCCCGTCACCCACGAGTATGGCTGGCAATCGTAGCCCGCGCAAAAGCTCGCATTGCAGCGTTCCCGACGGCCCCGGACTCGCCACCCCTCCCGCGGTTTCGACGAGCGCCAACGCTCGCTGCTGCCCCGATTCGTTCGCTCGCATTTTTTCCGCGAATTCTCTCAAATATCTCGACGTCGCTCGCACGATGTCATCGTCTAAAACGCCTCTCCCCTCCTCCGCCGCGCTCACGTGCGGCCCCGCGGGGCGTCGCCACGCAAACTCGGTGTGCGCCCACGCCCCTCGATCGCCCTCTAATCCTTTCCTCGCCGTTTCTCCCGCCGCCACCGCCGCGTGTTCGCCCATGCTCTCCACGCCACCGCTCACGCGCGCCACGAACGCGGCGTCTGAATCTTCTGGGAATCCCGTCTGCACGGGTTTCACGAAGAGCGTCCCCGCCTCCGCGCTCCGCGCCGCGCGCGCCAGTCCTCCCGACACCAGCGTCTTCCCGACCGCGGTGTTCGCCCCCCACACCGCGAACGCGGCGCACGTCAGTTCGACGTCCCGCGCCGCCCGCGTCGCCAGCGCGCGGCGTCCCGCGTCCCGCTCGACCCGTCGCTCGCGCGCGCGCGGTAACCGCCGCGCCGTCGTCGTCGTCGTCGTCGTCGTCGTCGCGCCCGTCGTCGCGCCCGTCGTCGCGCCCGCGCATCGTCGCGCGAGCGCGCGCATCGCGTCGCGTCGTCCGCCTCGCATCGCCCTCGACCGCGCCGACGTCGCGATGTGACCGCGGAGAGAAGAATGGATGCGTGGATGGATGGATGAACAGATGGCGCGATTGGGATTCGGGGCCGATCGATCGACACTCGCGCGCGTCGTTCGCTCGCGATGCGCGCCGACGACGAGGACGATGCGATGGCGTCGATGACGCCCGACGACGGCGCGGTGACGCGGTGCGCGACGTCGATCGCGACGACGAAGACGCTCGATCGCGACGCGCTCGGCGAGGCGCTCGAGGCGCGCGACGCGATGCGCGTGACGAAGATACTGCACGCCATGGAGCGCACGGAGGGGTTCGAGTGCGCGGCGGAGGTGCGCGCGATGGTGGAAATATTCGCGCACGGCACGCTGCGCGAATATCGCGCGCGAGCGGCAAACGAAAAGTTGCCGACGCTGACGACGCGCGAGGAGGCGAAACTGAAGCGACTGTCGACGTGCGCGCTGTGCGCGGAGGGAGGGACGATCGCGTACGTACGATTGATGCGAGAGCTGGAGTTCACGAGCGAACGCGCGATGGAAAAGTTCATCGTCGACGAGTGCCTGGGAGAAATCGTGTGGGGAAGGCTCGATCCGAAAAATAAAGTTTTACGGGTTCGACGCGCGAAGGCGAGAGACGCGCGAGCGAGCGCGCTCGACGGCGTCATCGCGGACGTCTCGCGGTGGCACGCGATAACGGAAACGATGTTGGCGAGTTTGAATGAGCAAATTGCGTACGTGTCGAGTGAAAAAGCGGAATCACTGGCGCGCGAGGACGAGCTCAACGCCGCGATAGAGGAGACGAAGAAACAACTCAAAGCCGCCGAGCCGGACGTCGCCGAGCGCGTCGACGAGGACGAGGACATGGACGAGGACGGTCCGAGCACGGGCGTGAAACGAAGACGATAGCTACGTCACGATTAGATGCGGCGCGATGATGTGTAATTTTAGTTGAATGCGCGTTTAGGAATTTGGTTTGAGCAGGCGTTGCTTCGTTCAATTACACAGTCTCGCTATTTGCTAAGAACGTGAACGAAAGCCAGTAAGCGTGAGCCGCTTACATCATGCCGGTGCCCACGGAACCGACCGACCAAACGCGAATGACGTTATCGGTGTAGCCCGTGTAGAGGGTGGAACCGTCCGCCGACCATTGGAGGGAGGTGCAGTACGGTTGTTGGGACTTCTTGCCAACCGGCGGGAACTCCGGGCGGAGCTCGTCGACGATGGACTTGGATTCGAGGTCCCAAATCTTGACGCAGGACTCGGTCGCCGCGCACAACCAGTAGCGGTTGGGGGAGAAGCACAAGCCGTAAATGATGTCACCCGCATCGAGGGAGTACAATCGCTTGCCCTCGCCGAGATCCCAAAGCATGGCGACGCCATCCTTGCCGCCGGAGGCGCACAAGGAACCGTCCGGAGAGACGGTGACGGCGTTGATGTAGCCGGTGTGACCAACAAGGTTGGTGCGAATCTTGCAGTTGGTGAGGTTCCAGACCTTGACGAGCTTATCCCAGCCCCCAGACACGATGATCGGGTTGGAGGTGACCGGGGAGAAGCGCACGCACGACACCCACTCGGAGTGCGCGTCGGCGTCTTGAATCGTGTACTTGCACTCGCCGAGCGTGTTCCACAACTTGATCGTCTTATCCCGGGAGCCGGAGACGATTTGGCGGTTGTCCACGGAGAAAGCCACCGAAAGGACATCCTTGGTGTGTCCGACAAAGCGTCGGGTGGTGGTACCGGTGTTAAGGTCCCACAATCGAAGGGTGCCGTCCCAAGACCCCGAGAGCGCGAATTGCCCGTCCGAGGAGATGACGACGTCTTGCACGAAGTGCGAGTGTCCGTGAAGCGATCGGCGCGGGTAACCGTAGTTCTCTTCCTCGCGCGTCAGGTTCCAAAGGATCACCGTCTTGTCTCGCGAGGACGACAAGAGAATGTCAGAGTTATCCAACGGAGTCGCGATGGACGTGACCCAGTTTTCGTGCCTGCGCGGAAATGAAAAAAACGTGTGGGTTAGTGTCGTCGTTCGACGTCGTGATCGAGCTCGTCGAGCTCGAGTCCGTTTCGCGTGAACGGTCACGCGCTCGAGACGACGCGCGTTCGACGCGTGAAATAATCATCGCACGAACGCGTCGCCGTCGTCGCGCGTCCCATCGCCGCGCGCCGCCGCCGCGAGCGTCAACGTCCGCCTCGTTCGATGGCGCAGACCCTATTCCACGAACGATCGGTTCGCCGCGCGTTCGCCGTCGACGCGACGCGACGCGCGCTCGGATCATCGATTCGCGCGACGCACCCCTTGAGCACGCCTCTGAGCTGCATTTGAGTCGCCATGTCGCGCGTCGAACGCGTCGCGTAGAGGCGGACGTCGTCGCGCGCGCCATCCACCCGGTCGCGCGCGCGGGTGATTGTGATGGTCCGTGTGTTTGACACCGCGGGCGGTCTCACGACGTCCCGACGCGCGCGGTCGTTTCAAACCGCGACGACGACGACGACGACGACGACGACGACGACGACGACGACGGGCGCGAGTCGCGCGTGAACGCACGCGAGTGAGCGCGCGCACGACCGTCGAGGACGCGCGCGACGGGAACGCGGACGCGGAGGTAACGCGACGCATCGGCATCGGCGTTCGGCATCGCATTCGGCGCCATGGCGAGCGCGCTCGTGCCGAAACGGCGACGGGTGGCGACGGAAAACGCGATGACGAAGCTGAGTGGGAACGGGGAGTCGTGCGCACTGTTTAACTGTAACTATTGCCAAAAGGACATCTCGAACGTGGTGCGCGTACGGTGCGCGGAGTGCGCAAACGTGGATCTGTGCACGGAGTGCTTCGCGGTCGGCGTGGAGCCGCACCCGCACAAGGCGTATCATCAGTATCACGTCATCGACAACATGTCGTTTCCGCTGTTCACGCGAGATTGGGGGGCTGACGAAGAGTTGTTATTGCTGGAGGCAGTGGAGATGTTCGGGTTGGGGAACTGGACCGAGGTGAGCGAACACGTCGGGACGAAGACGCGCGCGCAGTGTCACGCGCACTATTTTGAAGTCTACGTCAAGTCTCCTTGCGCGCCGTTACCGGATATGTCGAAGATTTTAGGAAAAGGCGTCGCGCGTATGACATCAGACGAGCTCAAAGCGGAGGCGGAGCAAAAGGCGAACGAAAATAAGGATGTGGAGGAGGAGGAGAAGCTTCTCGAATCGCTTGCTAACCCGAACGCAGTGAAGACGGAGGGCAACGTGCAGGAACTCACAGGTTACAACATCAAGCGCAATGAGTTCGATCCCGAATACGACATGGATGCCGAACTTCCCCTGGCGGAGATGGAATTTCGCGAAAACGACACCGAAGAAGACGTCCAGATGAAGCTGCGAATGATTGAAATCTACAACAGCCGGCTTCAAGAACGAGCGAGAAGAAAACAATTCATTCTCGAACGCAATCTGCTGAACGTGAAAAAGCAACAAAACGTGGAAAAGAAGCGTTCACAATACGAGCGCGACTTACACGGCACCATGCGTATATTTGCACGCTTTCTCACGAGTACCGAGTACGACGTCTTGCTCGAGGGTCTCGCCGCGGAGCACCGAATCCGAACCCGCATCACCGAACTGAAAGAGTACAGACGCAATGGTATTCATACCATCGCAGAGGGCGAGGATTACGATTTGGAGAAGCGTCGTCGTGAGACGGAGTTCGCTCGTCTACACGCGATCGAGCATCCAACTAGCAAGAACATAGCCAGAGCGAACAAGTTCATCGTGCGAGATGCCACACAAATCAATGAGCAGTTGACTCGCATGAACGACGAAGACAAGACGGTATCCGTGATCCCGACGCCTCGTACGTCGAGCTTAGGTCCTCGCCGTCGAATGTACTTGTCACTTGATCTCGCCGATCTTCCAGGCGTAGACCTTTTGAACGACGACGAAAAGGAGTTGTGCAGGAGCTGTCGCTTATTGCCTGTGCAGTATCTCTCGATGAAGGTGGAGTTGATGCGAGAGGGTCTCAAGTCCGAAAAGCCGCTCAACAGAAATCACGTTCGGAATATGTTCAAAGTAGACCCACTCAAGGCTATTCGTGTGTATGAGTTACTCCTACAGCACGGCTGGGTGTTGGAAGACGGCTTCGTGAACCCAGGTGAGGATGAAGACTCCGAACCTGCGCCGAAAAAGTCAGCCAGCGCAGACGAGGAGGAAGACGAGGAGGACGATGAAGTAGATTACGAAACCGACGATAACGACGAAGACGAGGACGAGGAAGACGACGAGGAAGAGGATAGCGAGGAAGACGATTAGCATGAGACGTTTTCTCCTCATTAGATTTTACAGTGCTGTAGTGACATATGACGGGAGTCATTTATTATTAATTTTTTCCCCAGCGTAGAAGCGATCGCCCCGTGCTGCCTGTCGTCTACTACGTGAATTTCACTCTGTTTTGAGGGTCCATGCTTTCTTTGATTCCACGATACACCAATCCAAGCGAACGGCCTGCGTTAGAGAGAGTAAGTCGATGCACAAAATAATTAATTTCAAACGCACCAATTAATGTCACCAGTAACCAAGAAGCCACCCGGCTGCAGTTGTTCAGTGCGCTTCTGAACAAGGGAAGGCTCACATCAGCGAGTTCTATTATCATAGAAACAGCTAAACGAAATCCCTTCACCTTTGCGAGCTCTGGCTGGCGACAAACGTGAATTTTCCTCGTCACGAGCTGTGTGAAAAATAATTAATTTCAGCGACAAATTAAAAAATTAATTCAAACGCGCCGTCGCGCGGAGATACGTACCTCGCCGTTTGCATTCATGCCCCACAATTTATGCCAATCTTCGTACATCGCGACCACGTCGTAATAATTGCGTGCAAGCCACGTGCGCAATGATGTTTCATTTCGAAATTTTTCCAACGAACGTGTGCTCTTCAAGCGAACGCTCAACGCGTCTCTGAACGGTGGAATGCGCACGACCGCTCCTGTGTCCTCCGTACGTGCGACTCCACCATTTACAGGCGCTTGTAGCCCGCTTTCACGCGCACACGTCACGTAAGCACACGCCACGGAGTCGGCAATATTTAATACCACGTCCTGCAAAACCGAAACGCACACCGAAGCCATAGGAGAATTGAAGAATTCCAGCACCGGTTCGACGTCTTGAGTGTTAATTTTCGTCGATTTCTCAACGACTTGAACGCTTTCGGAAATATTGTCCGTTCGATTGGAGTTCTGCGATGATTGAAATAATTCAGAATAATTAAATAAATATTTGTGAAGCTCAGCGAAAGTTAGACGTACCTTGGCCAAATACATCATCACTCCGGCATACAAAGCCATCTTACTTCCTTCAAGTATTTCTCCTGTGAAAAACGCGATCAGCTCGGTCGAAGACGAAAGCGAGATCATACGTACCGTTCTGCCAAATTTTTTCATCGGCCACGTCTCCGGCCACGCGAACCACCCGAGCGCACCGCTCCTTGGCGCCGATGTCAAGCGCCATCGAATTCATCCAATCATTCGCGGAGACCCTAGCCACTGTTTGAATGAGTTCACGCAAGCTTCCGTTGCTCTCTTCTATGTTCTCGAGCCCTTCTTTAAGCGCCAAGAGCACCACCCCTATGAGTTGTGCCCTGGCGCCGTCGTTGAGCGCCTGCAATTCAAGTTGCGGGGACGTGCCTTCTACCCCGCGTGAGTCCCACCAACCAATCGCTACGACGTCGCCTCCGACACCAGCTAACCCTTGACCCGCGGCGTGGAATATATCATCTCTTCCCGCGTCGGGCTTAAGCAAACTCTCCACGCGCGCCTGGGTGAGCTCTGCGGCTCGCGTTCTCGAGTTTGTCTTCGCGGCGTCTAACGACTCGTTTTCCCGCTCGATTTCGACAGTATCGTCGTGTCCAAGCAGTATTGGTAACGCCTTCGATGCCTACGAATGAAAATAAATCGGTCAGCCTCAATCTTCGTCGCGTTTGCGCTCGTTTGCTTCACCGAGAGCGTGCGGCGAGAGGCAACAAAACCACTCTTGACATCGCTCTGTCGGCGCGCACCGATCGATTTTAGGTCCGAATCTCGCGCTTGTCGATAACGTACCCTTTGAACGAACGTCTCCAACCCGTTTCTCGCCGCGTCGACGAGATCGACGCCGATTTGCGCCCGTCGAACCGTTTCTAACCTGCTCCCGCCGCGACGCCCACGCCATCCTCGGCGCGCCGTCGGTGCGCTCGCGAGCGATCGCGACGACGTCGAAACCGAGAGCATGTTCGTGTGGACGCTTTCGCAAATTTCGCCGCGCGCTGTGACGCGCGCGCGGTCTCGCGCTCTGGTTCGGCGCTTCAACGGTCGCCACGAACGTCGCTTCGTTCGCGCGCGCGGCGCGCGGGGGCCGACGCGGCGTTTATCGCGCGCGTACCGTGTTTGCAGATAGTTCTAAATTGTCTTTGAGTGCGTGATTTTTCGACGACGATTTCGTAGGGTTGCGCGCCCTCGAGACGCCCACGAAATCGCTCGACGCGCGTTCGTTTTGGCGTTCGTTCGTTCGAAATCGACTCGACGCGCGTCCACGTCGACCGCGCGCGTGATCGGCGGTGCGCCCGCAGACGGACGCGCGCGGCGCGCGTGCGGACGAATATCATGCACGTCACCAACGTCGGCGGTTCGTTAACCACCGCCGTGTGTCTGTCTCTCATCGCCTGGTCCGTGCGCGTCTTGCGAAGCGCCAAGCACAGAGATCGAGCGAGACAGCGAACGACGTCGAGCTCGCAACCGACGGTGAAATTGAACAAACAGACGTACGGGGTGCTGAGTGCGAAAGCGTTTTGGATGTTGGTTCAAACGAAACCGGTGAAATACTTGCTATTAGACGTCAGACCGAAGAGCGAGGACGGGGGGGCGACGGCGGTGACGAAGCTGAGCGACAGACTCGCCGTGACGCACATCTTACCGGAAGAGTTGGCGAACTTGTTGCGCAATCGTAACACACTGTGGAAGAAGAGATTTCCAAACATTCCCGTGCCGAGTTTAAGGACGACGATGATTTTTGTGAGCACGCACGGGCATAGCTCGTCGCACGCCGCGGCGCTCGCGACGAGCCTGGGATTCACGCGGTGCTCCATCGTGGACGGCGGACTCGCCGCGGCGGTACCTCTAGCACACTTCGACGAACCCGCTGTGTTTTCATCAGGGAAAGATCGAGCTCTGAGCTTCGACGCGGTGTTACTTCTCCTGGAAACGGTGAGAGACGACGGCAATGCGCTGGGACTAGTGATTTTGGACATTCGAAGGTTTGACGAGCGCGCGCTTTACGGAACACTCGAGGGGTCAACGCACGTCCCGGTGGATCATCTGCCCAAAGCAGTGCATATGAACGATGAAGAGTGGGTGCGGATGTTCCGATTTCACAAGCCGACGTCGGATAATCTCATCTTGTTGCATAGCCGAAGCAGTAGTTCCGCGGCGTGGGCGAAGCAGCTGCTTTCAGACGCCGGTTTGCACAACTGCCATTCTTACGTCGACGGCGCGTATGCCGGTCCTGATGGGACTTTAAGAAGTTACGAGGCATACGAAGAGGGTGGTGCACCCCCGGAGCCGGTGAGTATCGGACAAAGTGTGACGTTTAATCGAACGAGCGCCGAGCGAGAGTTGCTCAACTTGAGAATTCGTGTGTAGTTTGTAAGTTAGAATTAGATCAAAACAATGATGAGGCGGAGGTGTAAGTATATCACAATAATCGTATTTCTGTCGTTTGCTCGTTTGAAGTCAACAAGCGCGTAAGGTAAGTTATAATTCTAATTGATGGCTGGCGAAAGTTGCGGGTTCGCGAACTTCGGAAGTAAAACGTCGTCGATTTGCTCCGCCGTGCCCATGTCTCTGACGAATTTCCAGAACGCGACGAAAATGCCGGGAAGTGTTCTGTATGACGAGTAAGGAATGCCCATCTTCGCCGCTTCTTCCGCGACAATTTTCGCGATCGCGGGGTAGTGCACAAAGCAAATCGCCGGGAACAGGTGATGCTCGACTTGCAAGTTCAGACCGCCGGTGAAAAAGTTTCCAATCTTTCCACCCCAGTCAGCGCTAGTCACCAACTGCTGCACGCCCCAATCTCTTTCCCACGCCTCTCCACCGGTATCTTCAGGGAGTTTGGCCTCGGGCACGTTGTGACTCACCGCGAACGTACACGCGAGGACGACTCCTTGGCACGCCATGAAACCGACGATGCCGGCGACGACGGCGGAAGCCGCGTGGCTCATCAAAGGTGCAGCCAACAAACCGAAGTGCACAAACTTGCCGATAACTACGGTGGCAAGTTCCCAAGTGGTCGCCCCGTGGAGCTTTGCGCCTTCGGTATCGCGAGTGAACAAACCGACGATGTCGCCGACTTGGAACGCCACCTGCAACAACGGAAAGGCCAAGAACATGTACCAGTGCTGGAAGCGGTGGTACCACGCCTTGGGACGACGAGCGTCGAAACGCAAGAGAGGCATGGCGGTGTACACGTCTTGATCCATAGCATTGTCGTTGCAGTGAATGTGGTGGCTCACCTGGTGGTGGTATCGCCACATCAAAGACGAGCCGCCGATGAGATCGTTCGTCAAACCGAGGACGCCGTTGACGGCGGGCGACGGTGACATCGCCCCGTGATTGGCGCAATGCTGAATCGTGAGCCCGATCCACGCACCAGCTAAGCCAAGGAGGCAACCCGAGAGAAAGCCCGGGATGGTGGCGTACACACCGTACGCAAACGCGGCGAAAGACAAAATCGTTATCGTCGCGTGGTCGCCACCCATTCTGTGTTTGTTCTTCCCTTCTTCCGGGAAAAGTTCCTCGCGAACGCGATTGCGGATGTTGTTGTACAGCGGCGAATCGTTCGGTCTCGGTGACTTCGCCACGGCGTCGACCGGGAACCCCTCGAGCTTGGGTAACATCCTGAAGCGCGCCGTCGCCACCTCTGGTCGCAAGTGATAGGATTCCATGAGCGCCGTGCAGTCGCGACCGATGGCGAGGTTCAACAACCAGTTCCCGCCCGGATGCTTCTCAAAGAACGGTCCGAGGTCGTACGCCACGTCTCGAAACACCGTCCACTTCACCTTTTGCCACTTCTCATCGTTCCACGGATCCTCCATCCCCGGCGCCGCGACGTCCGGGCGCGGCAACCTCAGCGCCTCGCGTCTCGCCTCCAGGGACATCATCTTCTCCCCCTCCTCGCCCTCGACGCTTCTTTCGACGACCGCGGCGTTCCCTTCGCCCTCGATCGATCGCGGAACGATCGCATACCTCCCCGATCGCGCGCGCCGCGCGTCCGCGCGCACCGCGCTCGTCGTCGCGCGCGTCGTCGTCGCTCGACGGCGATAATCACACCTCGCGCTCGACGTCGTCGTCGTCGCGAACGCGCGCGCGACGGTGCGCATGGCGGGCTCGATCGCTCGGCGCGGATTCGTGGCGTTCGGATCCGTCTCGGGCGCTTCGCGCGTTCGGGCGTTCGAGCGCTCGCTGTCCCGGACGCGCGCTGTGACGAGCCGACGCGACGACGCCGACGCGACGACGCCGCGCGCGGATCGGATCGCGTGACGTCGGTCGGGGCGCGTCGGGCGTCGAGGGACTCGTTCTCGAGTCGAGACTCGTCGATGGGATCGGTGTGGTCCGTGTGTATCCATTCAATCGCACCATCGGTCGCATCGTCCGATCGCGACCGCTCGCGACCGCTCGCGCTCGCGCTCGAGGCGGACGCGCGGGACGCCGCGGGACGACGACGAGACGACGATCCGACGACGCGACGACGCCCGGCACAGCGACGCGCGTCGTCGTCGTCGACGTCGTCGTCGACGAGTCGCGAGCGTCGTCGACGCGCGCGCGTCGTCGACGCGCGAACGCGACGCGCGCGCCGTCGACGCCATGGCGCTGGATAGGGCGCTCGCGACGCGCGCGCGCGCGAGCGGGGCGTCGACGTCGACGTCGACGCGCGACGCGAGCGGACGGCGACCGGGACCCGGCGCGCGAGGACGGCCGGCGAAGGGGCGCGGACGGGGGAAGGTGCGCGGCGACCGACGCGACGCGACGCGCGCGCGACGCGCGTCGATCGGGACGGGACGGGACGTCCGAGGCGCGGTTTTCGCGCGATGGGGGGGGACGGCGACGTCTAAAACCGCGAGCGACGCGCGAGAAAGGCGCGAGTGCGACTCGATGGAATCGTGACACTGACCGACGGCGATCGCGCGCGCGCAGACGACGACGAACGCGGTTTTCGACGCCTTGAAGTTTGACCCGGACAGAGTGTCGGTGGCGTTCGACGCGAGCTCGACGCGGGTGGAACCGGAGTCTTTATTGCAGCGGCGTTACACGCTGACGCACAACGATGTGACGAGGAATTTGACGCTCACGGTAGGCGACGCGTTCAACGACGATCAAACGTCGATATGGTACACGAGATTGCTCAGAGACGAGGTGCTCGCGGAGTGGCGCGAGGACGGCTTGCACGTGTTTTGTCAGGTGAGCGCGAAGGAGGCTTGGTGGATACGATGGGCGGCGCCCCTTCGTTCGGTCGTGTTTCGTCAAAAATTACCGTTGGTGTTAGATACGTTGCGTTACGCCGAGAGAGAGCTACTGGCGACGTATCCAGAGTTGTTTGACAGTCCGGTGTACGTCAACTTTGGCTCCGCGGACGGACCGGGGGACAAGGAGTATTGGGGAGATTTCAGAACGGCTGGATCGGAAGAGACGCGATCGAGTCGAGTGACGTGCGCGGATGGTGCAGGACTGGATCCCAGAATAGCAGACAATGTTAGAAACACGATAATCACAGGGCGTGGTTCTCGCGTCGAGGTCGGCGGAGTGATTTTGGAAAACTCCCCAGCGCCTCCTCGCTAGCGAATGCGTTTTGAAGACCACGTCGTCGTCGTGCCGGCGGGCGAGCGACGCGGTCGAGTTTAGGACTTTTTATTACCACCTTTCTCATTAGTACTCATCATTCTTCGCACGATTCGAGCGGTGCGAGGAGCCAACGAGAGCTCGCCGACTTCGCAGCCGCTCTTCTGCTCGCCCGACGAGTGACCGCAGACCGCGCTTCGCACGCGCGTCTCGGTGCGTCGCTACCATGCGACGCTCGGCGTGTTCGCGCCAACACCGCGAGCTCTGTGAGAATTTGTTCTCGTTCGCGCACAGAGCGCGCGCACGAGCCCGCACATCGACCGCATTCGCGACGGTGGACGAAGCGTTGCGGGACTTCGTCAATCACGAAAAGAGCGGCGTCCCGCGAAACGCTGGGACGGATACGACGGACGGATTCGATCTCGGACGCATGCATAGATTGTTGCGAGACTTTGACGATCCACACAGGGCGTATAACACGATACACGTGTCGGGAACGAAGGGGAAAGGAACGACGGTTTCCGTGCTCGCGAGCGTCCTGCGCGCCGCTGGATTACGAATCGGCACGTATAAGAGCCCTCACGTGTATACCGTGGCGGAAAGGATTCGGAGTAGCGAAAGTGATGCGTCTGCACAAGTTCTCGACGTACTGCGCGATTTAGAGCGAGAGATAAAGTCTGCACAACAGCGTGAGGGCGGTCAGTTGTCGTACTTTGAAGTCCTCACGGCGCTCGCCTTTGCATACTTTAAAAAGGCAAACGTCGATTTAGCGCTCGTGGAAGTCGGTCTCGGGGGAAGTCGAGACGCCACAAACGTACTCGCGGCAGAAAATCTAGAAGCAGCGGTGATCACACACATAGGTGAGGAACACCTCGAAGCGCTCGGCGGTTCGATTGAGACAATCGTAGACGCAAAAGCTGGCATCGCGCATAAAGGTCGTCCGGTGTTTTGTGCCCCAAACGTGGACGAACGAATAACAACAATGTTGAAAACTGCGCTCCGCGCGCGTGGGGCGAACGTTATCGATAACGTATGCGTAGACACGCGTCTCGTGCGGTATCACGTGGAAGACTCGATCGCTTCGCAGGACGTCGACATCGACATCAAAGTGGATGGTAAAATAGCGTCCACCCTTTCGAACGTTCGAATTCCTCTCGCTGGGCCGCACCAGCGCGAGAACATAAGTCTTGCGCTTCGTGTTCTGTGGTGGCTTCGCGCTCAAAACAAAATCGACGCATCTCTGGAAGATATTCGAAGAGGCTTGGAAACGACGCGCAGTCCGGGGAACTTTGAAGTATTTGAGACGAGTGGAGGGCCCACGATGATTGCTGATGGCGCGCACACCAAAGGTTCCGCTCGAGTTCTCGTGAACACGATTCGTGAGGTTTATCCCGACCGAAAACTTTTGTTCGTCGTAGCGATGGCGGACGACAAGGATCACGGAGGATTTATTGAAGAGCTGTACAGGGCGGATCCCGTCGGTGTGGTGTGCACTCAAATGCAAGTCGCCGGCGCATCGTCTCGAACGACGCCCGCGAAGACGCTCGCGAAGGCTTATATCGGCCCAGCGCATGGTCCGACTCCCACCTCAGAAGATGATTTCGAGAAGGCCTTGAAAGGAGCGCTCTCGCGCGGCGACGACGAGATTGTCGTGGTCGTGACGGGATCACTTTACACGTTCAAAGCGCTTAGCAAGGCGTTACTGTAGAGACACCGTAGACGTAGACTAGCGTAGATTAAGTAGTTTAGTTACAGCCGCGTTAGACTAAATCTAGAACTCAGCGCTACCCGGGTAACGGGGGAAAGGAATGGCGTCACGAATGTTCTCCACACCTGTGACGTACTGAACGAGGCGTTCAAAACCGAGGCCGAAACCGGCGTGCGGCTGCGAACCGTATCGTCTCAAATCTAAGTACCACCAGTACGACTCCTTTTCCAAACCAACCTCTTCGATTCGGCGCTCCAAGACATCAAGGCGTTCTTCTCTTTGGCTACCACCCATCAACTCACCAACGCGGGGCACCAAGACGTCCATTGCGGCGACGGTTTTGTTGTCGTCGTTGAGACGCATGTAGAACGCCTTGATATCTTTCGGATAATCGCGCACGATCACGGGGCGATCTTTGAAGACTTCTTCTGAGATGTACCGCTCGTGCTCGCTCTGAAGATCCGATCCCCATTCGATTGGGAACTCAAACTTCTTCTTCGCGTTCAACACGTGCTCGACGGCTTCGGTGTACGTGATGCGCGCAAACTCTTGCGACGCGACGTTTCGAAGTCGCTCTCTCAGGTTGTCTTTGGAGATGTTCTTCTCGAAGAATTCAAGATCTTCGTCGCAGTGCTCGAGGACGTGGTTCAGGCAATACTTCAAGTACGCTTCTGCGCAATCCATGTCGTCGTTCAAATCCGCGAACGCGAGTTCGGGCTCTACCATCCAAAACTCAGCCAGGTGGCGCGACGTGTTGCTATTCTCCGCGCGGAACGTCGGACCGAAGGTGTAGATGTCGTTGACCGCGCAAGCCATGATTTCACCGTTCAATTGCCCAGACACGGTCAAATAAGACGGTTTGCCGAAGAAGTCTTGAGAATAGTCGATGGAACCATCCTTATTCTTCGGCAAGTCGGACGACGGGCGATTGTTCTTCAGCGCCTCGACGCTCGCCTTGAGATCTAAAAGCTTCGCCACGGCCTCATCAACTTGCTCTTTCGTCGCGTCTCCCGCTTTCTTCGCCTCCTTCAGGGCCTTCACCGCGTCACCCTGTGCCTTCACCATGGCTTCTTGCTCGTCCACGACCGAGGCCGGCGTCGTCCACTCGCCGGCGCCGAAGCCGTTCAACAGCGTCGTCACTTGAAACTGTTCCCCAGCGCCTTCGCAATCCGACGCGGTGATGATCGGCGTGTTGGCGTATAAAAACCCATGCTCTTGAAAGAACGTGTGCGTCGCGTACGCCAACTGATTGCGCACGCGAGCCACGGCGCCGATGGTGTTTGTGCGAGGTCGCAAGTGCGCGATGCTTCGAAGATATTCCAGCGTGTGTCGCTTCTTTTGCAGCGGATACGTCTCCGGATCCGCCGTTCCGATGACATCAATCTCCTCCACCGCCAATTCCGCCGCTTGCTTCCCTCCCGGACTCGCCACGAGTTTCCCCTTCACCCTGAGCGCCGCCCCCGTGGAGACGCCGCCCGCGTCGAGCGCGTCCCACGCCGCGCTTCCCTCGTTCACCACCGCTTGCATCCCCGAGATCGCGCTCCCATCGTTCAGGTCGATGAACGCCATTCCCTTCTGCGTCCGCACCGATCGCGCCCACCCTCGCAGTTCCAACGCCTCGCCCACGCGCGACGCCCCCCCGTCGTTTCCCTTCACGCGCGCGATGCGCTCGGGTCGTCCGTACGTCGCCCGCGTCGCCACCGCGCGCGCGCTCCGCGCGTGTTTGATCGCTCCCGGCGTCGCTCTCGCCCGCATCGCGAGCGCACCGAGTCGCGCGCCGAGTCGCGCGCCGCGCACCGCGTCCACGGACGCGCGCGACATCATCGCGCCGTCGCCCGCGGGGACGTCCAGTGACGTCGCGCGCCCGTAATTCGTCGTCGGCAAAGGCGCGGTCGGTCGCCGAGACCATAAAATCGCGTTCGACGGCCACTTGCGAACCATTGAGTTGATCGTTTTTTTCTCGTGTGGACGACTTTTTCGCTCGACGCGCGTCGTCCGTCGGGCGTCGCGGTCGACGCGCGCGACGGGACGGGAGACGGCGTCGGGGGCGTGACGCGCATGCGGGACGAGATCGCGCTCGTCGAGCGCGCGCGCGTGGTCGTGGCGGACGACGGCGCGCGCGCGCGGCGAGACGCGGTCGCGCGGGCGACGACGCGACGGTTGATTTTGACGTTCGAGACGACGGCGACGGCGGCGGCGGCGGGGAGCGCGGCCGAGGGTGGGACGGTGATCGAGTACGACGACGTGGCGGCGTGCGAACGAGCGCAGGAGTCGCGGTCGACGCTGGGTGGGTTGTTCAGGAGGCGCGAGCGCGGGGTGGCGCTGGTTTTGACGAGCGGGAGACGGGTGACGATCGGCGCGCGAGGGGCGAGCGCGGAGGAGGTGTGCGGGAAAATCGAGAACGCGATCGTAAAGTATAAGAGACAGAAAGCGACGGCGGCGGTGGAGACGACGCGGGAGGATGCGAGGCGGCGGGCGAGCGGCGCGTCGGCGGCGACGGCGGGCGTCGGCGGCGCGGTGAATCGACAGCTCGAACGCGCGGAGGCGACGAATAAGACGATGGACGAGGCGTTTACCGATCTCAGAGCGCTCATGGCGAAGGCTGGAGAGATGGTGACGCTCGCCGAGCGGCTCGCGGAGTCGATGGACGGGAAAGGGGAAAGTTCAGAGCTTCAGCGTCTCGTGCTCAGTCTCGGGATTACGAGTCCGGTGACGCGCGCGAACGCGGGGGCAGAGTTTCATCGAGAATTAGGTAAACAATTAGCGGATTGGATAACGCCCGTGGTGCAAAAATCGAACGGCATCATTACCGTCACCGATGCGTTCTGTTTGTTCAATCGCGCGCGAGGCACGGAGTTAGTTTCCCCGCAAGACATGCTTCGCGCGAGCGAATCGTGGGAGTCGCTCGGGGTCGATTTGCACTTGCGTAAATTTGAAAGCGGAGTGATGGTGATTCATACCGTAGAACGCACAGACGAGGAAGCGTGCGCGCGATTGCTCGCGCGATTGCCGTCTTACGAGCATTCAATCGATTCGTACGAGGCGGCGCAAATATTAGCGACGACGCCCGAAATAGCGCTCGAGTACCTCTACATGGCAGAAAGCCGAGGCGTTTTGTGTCGAGACGACGGACCTGCGCAGATGAGATTTTATGCAAACATGTTCGAGGCTAGATTGACGTAGATTTTTATTGAACAACTCACAAATTAGCCACGGGTGATTGATGATGCTACACAATTTTCAAGCGCGCGCGCTTAAATGTCATTAATGTCGTCGAAATCGAAGAAGTCATCGTTCTCGTCGCGCTCTTCTTCGAACGTATCCGTATCGTTCACGCGGAAAGTGTCCGGGAGTTCCCCGTACGCCTTCAACGAGCGCGCCTCGTCGGCCAAGTACTTCAAGATGACGTCCGCCTTTTCGTCTTGAAAGTCCCGCAAGCCCAACAGGATGATGTCCCCGGTGTTCACCCAAACCTTTTTCCGCATTTTACCGCGAATGTGACACAAACGCTTCACCCCATCGATGCACTGCGCCTCTAAGCGCCCGTTCCCGAGCATGCGCAACACTTGCGCGTACTCTTGACCGTCCTCTTTGAAGATGAGTTCGCGCTTCTCGTCTTCGCCGCCCCCTTTCCCGCGACGACGGTTCTTCCCTCCCTTTCCCTTGGAGTTACTCTTCGGCATCGTGCGTTTACGACGCTCGCGTGTCTAAAACTTTACGCAGTCCCTCGATCGAGGACGAGTCGCGGATGAATGCGATTTCGGCGTCGTTCAAACTGAAGACCCTAGAACTTTCTTCGCGCGTCCGTCGCGCGCGTCCGTGCGCGCGAGGCGTGCGGTGAATCGATCGAACGCGCGTGCGTGACGTTTACGTGCGTGGAGCGCGCGCAAAGATCGGCCGAGTCCGGGTCGTCGACGGCGGGGCGTCGAAAAGAGACGGATGGGCGCGGGCCGAGCTCGACGTCGTTCGAGCGAACGCGCGGCGAAATCGAACCCGACCCCGTGGGCCAGGGTTGATGCGAGCGTTCGTGACTCAAGGAGTGGGGACTCGATCGGCGCGCGCGCGCGCGTCGAGAGGAAGTCGGTCGCTCGGGCGCTCTACAATCGGCGACGACGCTATGAACTATAAATACTTCAGCCCGACGATCTTCGCTCGACGCTGGAGGGTGTGCTGGGTGACGACGGCGATGAGACTGGTGAAGGCGAGCGCGCGCACGGAGGGAATTTTTGAAAGAAACGGCGCCACGACGGCGAGCGGGGCGGTCAAGATGAGCGTCATCCCGTCCGTGCGAACGCTCGTGGCGAGGTAGTGCACCAAATTGATGCTATTCACCGAAGCGAGGAGCAGACTCAACGCGTTGAGCGTCATCCACGGCAACTTGGAGGCGGTCGCGGCGAGAACGTGAACTCGGTTCGGGCCGGCGAGGATGGCGGCGACGGCGTCCCAGCACATCTTACCCACGATCATCGCGAGCGGTGGAGCGTATCGTTGGCTGTCTTCCAGTATAGGAAATATCACCGAGTCTTGGTGAAGAAGAAGCAGAATGGGCGCGAGGACGAAGACCGAAAACGCGGAGCCATCGGCCAACTCATCGCTCAGCACCACGCACGCGAGAAAGGACGTGAGCGTGGCGATGTTCCCGATGATTGGCATCCAAGCGATCGCCTTTGCCTTGAGTTCTCTGTGCTCGTTTCTGCTCGCGACACCGCGGAAATATTCCGGACGACTGCGACCAGTGGCGGGAAGGAACGGTGAAGTACCGCCTTGACGTCGTCGATGTTGCACGCTCTCCAGGCTCGTTTTGATTCTCAACTTCAGAGCAAACGCGATTTGCAGCGAAGTCCCGGCGAAAACGCCGACGACACCGAATTTTCCTTCCATTCTCGCCTGATGGTCGTCCACAGTCTCGTCTGAGCCACCCATTTGTGTGACGTACGCCAAGCCGAGAACGGAGACGAACGATAAATACACGTAAGGCAACCAGCGCGAAGACTTCGGCGAAGGGCTGTACGTGAAAGACAAGAACACTCCCACCAGCGCACACGCGACAAATAGTAGTGCCGTCAGCGCCACTTGCTGGACGAAGAATTCCAGCGCCATATATAAACCAACGCTCCCACCGCACACGGCGCTTAAGGCGATTCGAATCGTTGACGTTGATTTTGTCTGTTGTCGTGGAGACGAGACGGCGAATATCGCGGTGAGCGCGGCTAACATCAGCAACCAGCTCGGCCATCCATGATGCGCGTTCTCGCGCACGCCGTACATTCTCGCTTCGTCTTCTTCAGAGTCGGGAACGTGTTCGGCGTCATACCACATGCCCACCTCGCCCTTCCAAGGCATCGGCGGTCGGAAGGTGATGAGAAAGACGCCACAGAAACTCAAGAGCATCATCAATCGTTTGCTAAACATGTCATCACCGTAACTTTGTCGCGTTACCACGGACGCCAAGCTCGCCCCCGTGATCAGGAGGAGTCCACCGAAGAGCGTCGCGTCCGTCGGTCGGTGACCCGAGAGTTCAAATATAACGTCAAACATCGCAAACCGAGCGAATACCAAAGAGAACACCAAAGCGACGCAATAACCAACGCTCGCGCCCGGAGATAATTGAGTCATTCGCCGTGACATCGCGTGCGGAGCGGTGATGGCGAGCACGACCACCAAGACGCTGAACATTTCCTTCAAACCGCGAACAAAGAGCATGGAGAGCTTTGCGCCGCACACGCTCTGCATCACCCAGCCAAATTCGCGACTGATTCTCCCGCTGATGACGAGGCCTCGACTCGCCAAGAAGCCGCTGATGGAAGTGACGATGACCAAATATGGTGGATAAATCAAAGAATCGTCGTCATGCGTCGCTTGACTCAGGATTTGTTCAATCGTTGCGAGCGCCGAGACGTAACAGACGACGAGGACGCCAACCGTCGGCGCGCGCGCGCTTTTCGTATTCAACACCGCTGGCAAAGCCAAAGCCGCCACGGCGAGGAGTAATATGGCGACACACAATTGTTTGACGTCGAAAGCTCCCACGCGCACATCGAGTGACCAGAAATTCTTCGAAAGAAACCACGAAAAGCATCCGACGCAACTCGCGGCAAACACGCCGTAATCCTTCGGCTCTCGGTCCTCGTAATAATATTTGACGAATGACGATGATCCGGCGATGGGGATCGGAATCATCCACAGAGGTGCACCCAAAGCACAAATTGCGGTCGACGTAGACAGAGCCAACGTCGCCTTCACCGCACCCGTCGGGACGCCGTCGCCGACGGCGTTTGCGTAGCACGCGGCGAAAACTGCCAGCGCGCTGTGGACGGAAACCGTCACCATGATGTAATTCAAAGGAGCCATGATTTCGATGTACTCGGCAAATTCACTAAATATTATTCCACCTTCAACGCTCACCGCAAATCCAGTGAGTGCGAAGAGGAGCACGGCGGTTTCCATCCTTTTCGACGCCACGTCGACGCCGCGCGCGCGCCACCACAACGACTTCTCCGTGCCGGCGGCTATTAAATACAACACCGGGACCGTCACCAACGCCCCACACGCGAAGACGTGATCGAGGGACTTGAACAGTGTGTCGAGGTTCGTCCATAAATACAACGCGACGGGTAAGCCGAGCGTGGCCACGGTGGCGTACTCGGCGTCGCTCTCGGTCAACGCCGAGCGCTTGTCCGACGGAGGCCCGTTCGTCTTCGTCACCGCCGCGCACGCGCTCGCGCACGGAAACAAAAACATCCGATGCGTGATCAACGACACGACCGAGCCGTAAAACGCCGCTCTCTCAGCTCCCGCGCTCGCGCTCGCGAACGCCCACGTCAGAATCGTCGTCGTCGTCGGCGGACACAGCGCGAAAATCAAACGCTCGCACGTCGCCGCCGCGCCCGCGTGCGACTCGTGTATCCACCGAAATTGCAGCGTGCACCACGAGCAAAATAAAAACAAATTCACCCCATTCACCGCGAGCAGCGCGCACGACGTCCCGACCGTCGCGCTCGTCCGCCAGCTCCCTCTCGTCAGCAGCGTCCCGAGCGCCGCCGTCGCCGTCGTCCAAATCGCGCCCAGCGCCCCCTCTCCGTTCCCCATCGCGTCCATCCCGCGCGCCGCGCTCGCCCCGATCGCGACCACGGTCACCATCGTCTCCCCCCCGCTGCCGAGCGTGACGCACAGCGCCGGCGCGAGCGCCGTCAGCGCGCGCGTCGAGTGTCCCCAACGACATCCCGCGCGTCGTCGCGTCGCCTCCTCGCGCGCCCCCGTCGCGCGCTCGCGCCCGCGTCCGCGCGCGCGCATCCCGGACGCGCGCGCGCGTCGTTTCCTCGCCCGATTCGCGCGCGTCGTCACCGCATCGCCGCCGCGCGTCGCTCGATGGCGTCGTTCGTCGTCCGTCCGACCGCCCGCGCGCCCGCGCCGCCCGCGCTCGCGCCTTCCGTTCGACGAGACCGTCCGATTGAGACCGTCCTCGCGCGCGCGCCCTCGCGCGCGCGCCCTCCGCGCGCGCGCCGCGCCGCGCGGACCCCGAACGCGCGCGGACGCGACGCGTCGCGACACAACGCGACGACGCGAAGCACGACGCGATGGCGACGCCGCGCGCGATGACGATGACGCGCTCGCGCGCGCTCGTCGCGACGCGCGTGACGACGCGAAGAGGGACGGCGACGACGCGACGCGCGCGCGCGACGCGCCCGAAGATCGAAAGCCTCGGTGGGTTCGGGCCGAACATCGACGCGAAGGAGATTCAACGACGCATGGCGGAGAAGCAGCGAAAGATCGACGAGAACAAGCGCAAGGCGCGGGGCGCGAAGGAGGCGTCGACCGCGTTCGGGGCGCGAAGGGAGTTTCAGAGGACGATCTCGAGCGCGAGACCGTCGCGCGCGGGACGGACGATGCCGGGGGGCGGCGTCGCCGCGGGGACGACGTCGAGCAAGACGAAGACGACGAGCGGGAAGGGCGGGAAGGGCGGGAAGGAGGAGGCGCCGAAGAAGAAACTGTTCGGATTGTTTTGAGCGACGACGACGGGCGCGAGTTTGTAACGAACGAGTCATTCTAATCGCTCGCGAGTCGACGCGACGACGCGAATGCGCGCGCGCGTCGACGCCACAATTCGACGACGTCTCGACGCGACGTCTCGACGCGATCGCGCGATCGCGATCGGTCGACGGCGAGAACGCGACGACGGCGCGATCGCCGACGCGCGATCGGGCGTGAGTCGTCGCGACGGGCGCGCGGGGCGACGACGACCGACAACACGTGGCGCGATCGACGGTCGACGACGACGCGATGAGCGCGCAGGCGACGCGAGATCAGCTGCGGACGGCGTTCGCGGAGTTAGAGTGCGTCGCGCGATGCGATGGGATGGGATTCGAGCGACGCGAGCGACGCGACGAGACGGAATACGCGCGAGGGACGGGACTGACGGAGCGAGCTCGCGACGCGTCGGCGCAGGGACGGATTCAAGCGTAAGGACGTTCTCGAGAGCCGCGAGACGTCGGTGTCGAGCGGACACTTGAAAAAGTTGACCAATAAAATGGCGGAGAGTAAAAAGCTGATCAAGGAGTTTGAGAGACGGGCGCTGAGCGAAGGGGCCATGGACGCGAACGCGTTGGCGGCGGCGAAGAAGGAATACGTGTCGAGGTTGAACAAGTTTGTGCAGATGAAGAAGGAGGCGCAGATTGCGATCGCGGAGAAACAAGAAGAGAGGAAGAGCGAGGTTGGTAGTCAGGGCGGGGAAGCGAGCACGTCGGGAGGGGTGACGACGTCGACGACGGCTACGTCGACGGCGTTTACGTTGCCGGCGTTCCGGCCAAAGCCAAAGGGGGAGATTGTAGAGGATGAGCAGTTGCAACTCATGGAGGCTGGGGATTTGATTGATCACGGTAGGAACGTCATGGACCAAACGGATAAGAGCATCATGCGAAGCGAAGCGGTGGTTGAGGAGACGATTCAAATAGGGACGCAAACCGCCGAGGCGTTGCGCGGGCAGACAAAACAACTGGAGAAAATCGTAGATGATCTCGATGAAATCCACTTTTCGTTGAAAAAGTCGTTTGGCGTGCTGAAGGACATCACCCGTGGGTTAGCGACGGATAAGTGCATCATGCTCTTGCTCTTTTTGGTCGTCGTCGGCGTAGTTGTGGTCATCATTACGAGGTTCGTGAAGTAGCGCGTATCTAAATAAAAGAAGTTTCGCATCTTAAACATCGCGCGTCTACTTCATCGTCATCAGTTTAATTGCTGAAATTAAAAATTGGATATTCTTTCGCTCGGTAGCGTCGTCGTCGTCGTCGTCGTCATCTCGCAATCATCCCAGACCGCGGTTGTCATCCTTCGTCGTCGCCAGCGTCGTTTTTCCGAGCTCCATCGTTGTACAGTACAGTATGCTAGAACATTCGTTTAGTTTTCGCGCATCGAATCAGGTTCAAAGTCGGCATCATCGTCGTCATCCTCTTCTGGCGCATCCGCAGCATCGACGAGCGCTCGAGACCATCTCGCGAGATTTTCGCCGCGGTGGTCGTCGTCGCTATCGGTGCTCGCTTCGTCTTCATCGTCTTCATCCGTATCTTCTTCTTCCTCGTCATCTTCTTCGTCAAATCCCCAAGCGTCGTGTTCATCGCGCATGGGAGGGGTGCCGAGATGCACTCCACCATCACCAGCTTCGAAGACGCGCACGTGATTGTCTATACCGCAGCACACGATGGTCGGCAAGTGCGGGTGCGGCAAAACGGTGTTCACCACCTGACTGTCTGCTTGCATTTTGCACACGAGCTCGCACGTATCTTTGTGCCAGACGTATACGTTGCCATCGTCACCACCCGTCGTGACGTACTCATCGTCGCACATAAAAGCGACACCCTTTAAGAAGGTTTTCACATTTCTGCGTCCGACGTACCTCTTCGCCGCCTGATGCGTGATCGGCATTTCCCACGGCACGGAGAACGACTTAAAAATACGTTCCTCAGAATTGATATTCGCCGCCGCTCGGCGAGTGTCCAACAGGTACACGTCGTCGCCTTTGCAGTTAATCGCGAGTTCGCCCTTGGACGAGTAAGCCAGGCCAGATATACCCTCAAAGCCCGGGCTTCGCACGCCTCGACCGAGCTCGAGCGGACTGAGCATCATGACGCACGGAATGTCGTGATTCATCGAAGGCCGAGGCGATCTCAGAAACATCGGTTGACCCGTGGGCGACGTGCTCGGACTCGGTGCCGCTGGACATTCGCGCGCCGCTTCTCGCCGGTTACTCTTGACGTGTCTGAGATCAAACACGCGCACGTGAGGATCGTCCGAGCACGCGGCGAACGTCGTAGGCGCCGTCGGGTCGAACACGATTTCCGACGTCGGCCCGCACGCGCTCAAATCGACGACGATTTCGTGTGAGTTTCCTTCGAAACCACCGTGACTTTGCCTCAAGTCGAACAAACGAACGCGACCGTCTTGATGGCACGACAAAAACGTATTCGGTTCGTTCGGCACGAACGTCATGCCGAACCCCATCCCCGCGCCTCGACCGTGCCAGAGCGAGCGACTGCACTCGGAATTCGGTTGATTCGCCCCGCGCAGGCGATAACCGTAATGCGCGGGCGCGGGCCCTCGAAACCCACGCTCTAAATCCACCAACCGCACGTCTCCATCCGCGGACGTCGTGACGCAGTACGCGCTGTTCGATTGCGGCACGAATTCGCTCGCGAAGACGTTGTGCGTGTGCCCCGTGAACGCCGACCCCTTCAGCGGCATCTTCGCCCCGCACCCCCACACGCACACCGTCATATCATCGCTCCCAGAGATCAACAGCGACGCATCGTCGTTCCAACTCACGCAATTCACGCACCCACCGTGCTTCTCCAGCGTCTCCCTCAGCCTCAATTCCTCCACGAAGCGCTTATTCGAGCACCGCAGCGCCGTCGCCCCCGTCTTCGCGCTCGCCGCGCCTCCCCGTCGCTCCCCGATCTGCCGCTCTCTGCACCACTGCCGTCGCTGCGCGTCGGCGAATATATTTCGACTCCGTCGCGCGAATCCTCCCGCGCCGTCCTCGTCCATCCGCGTCGTTCGCGTCGTCGTCGCCGCCCCGTCGTCGCGCGCCGCCTCCGCGCCTCGTCCCGCGCCGTCTTCGTCCTCGTCCCGCGCCGTCTTCGTCCGCGCTCTGGCGCGCGCGCTTCTCGCGCCGTCGTCCATCGACGTTCGCCTCGTCGCCTCGTCCCGTCGTCCCGTCGTCCCGTCGTCGCGCGTCGTCGCGCGTCCGTCCGTCCGTCCGTCCGTCCGTCCGTCAACCACCGCGTCCGTCGCCCCGTCGGTCCTTCGTCGGTCGCCTCGCGTCGCGCCTCGCGTCGCGGCCGACGGTCCGCGTCAGCGCGCGCGTCGCGATCGCCCGGCCGACGCGCGCCGCCGACTGCCGCGCGTCGCGCGCGTCCGCGTCCGCGTCGCGCGCGCTGACGCGGCCCGTCGGCCGGCGACCGCGCTGGACGTCGCCACACGAGGGTGTTTTTCGTCCGGGATCGCCATACGAGGGTATTTTTCGTCCGGGATCGCCACACGAGGGTGTTTTTCGTCCGTCCGGGATCGCCATACGAGGGTTGTTTTTCGTCGAGTCGGCGCGGGACGATTGGGCGACGAGGATTGGGCTCGCGACGCGCGACGACGGGAGAGGACGGCGCGGTGCGCGCGGGACGCGAGGTGCGCGAGGTGCGCGAGGTGCGCGGTGCGGCGCGCGATGGTGCACCGGTGGTGCGAGACGTGCGGGAAACGGGTCGCGGCGGAGACGAACGAGGCGAACGGGTTCACGTGCTGCACGACGTGCGGGAAGATTTTAGACGAGCGCGCGGCGTTCAGCGCGGACGCGACGTTCGTGAAGAACGCGCAGGGAGCGTCCGTGCCGGATGGACACTACGTGCCGGAGAGCGGGGTGGCGCACGGGGTGATACGGGCGACGCGAGGCGGAAGACTGTACGGCGTGCAGTTGGACTCGCACGAGCGCACGCTGTATCGAGGGAAGCTGGAGATTAAACAGTTGGCGGATCGGTTGGGGATACGACCGAGGGAGGACGTCGTGGACGCGGCGCATCGGCTGTATAAGCTCGCGGTGCAGAGAAATTTTACGCGAGGGCGAAGGATTTCGCAAGTGGCGGGGGCGTGCATGTACATCATCTGTCGACAGGAATCGAGACCGTACATGTTGATTGATTTCGCGGATATTTTACAGACGAACGTGTACGTTTTGGGGGGCGTGTTCTTACAGTTGTGTCGGTTGTTGCGACTGGAGCAGCATCCGCTCATGCAAAAGCCGATCGATCCGAGTCTGTTCATTCATCGATTCGCGGACAAGTTGAACTTGGGACGACGGATGCACACCGTGGCGAACACGGCGCTGCGGCTCGTGGCGTCCATGAAGCGGGATTGGATGCAGACTGGTCGTCGTCCGAATGGAATTTGTGGTGCCGCGTTGTGGGTCGCCGCTCAAATTCATGGATTCAGTCCGAGCAAGCGCGATGTCGTGGCTGTGGTGCACGTCGGCGAATCGACGCTGAAGAAGCGTCTGAGCGAATTCGAAAACACGCCGAGCGCGGCGCTGTCGATCGAGGAGTTTGACACGCAAGCTCGCACGTTTGAGGCTGAAGAAGAAGCGAATAAAAACACAAAATCGCTAGCGTCGAGCCCAATGTCGGTGCTGAGCTGTGTGCACAAAGACAACGAAAACATTCCGCACTTTGCGCACGGAATGTGTCGCGCGTGTTACGTGGATTACGTTAGAATTTCGGGGGGTTCGGTGGGAGGCGCCGATCCGCCCGCGTTCATGCGCGCAGAAGCGAAGCGGAAAATCGATGCAAAACAAAAGCTTTTGTTGCCCGCGCTGTCGTCGGGCGAATTGGGAGACGAAGACGCGTTGACGCAAGAATTTAACTCGGCGCTCGAGCAAGACTTGAGCGCGCTGCTCGCGTCGCCTACGCCGTTGAATTCAGTTCAGCCCTTGGCCTTACCTTGCTCGTCGAAACGCGCGACTTCGGCGAGGAATATGACGAAAAAGGGGCAAAAGCAGCAACAGCAACATCACGTTCAAACTAGTCGCCGCGAGCCGGTCGACGCTGATTTCTTGAGACGCGCCGAGGACGCCCTGCGCCTGCTCGTCGGATCTCGATGGGCCGAACTCGTTTGCTTACCGTTTACAAGCGATCTCTCCAAGGCGCGACTGTCGAAGATGCATATGTGTGAGCTCCATCCAAACTACGAAACCTTTGTGAACAACGAAGGTGAACGCATCGCGCAAGTGGACGCGCTGGTCTTACACTTTTTAATAGCCGCGAAGTGTTTCGACGATTCAGCTCTGGCGCAGTTGGCAAAGCATTCGCCGCACGACGTCGAGGCTTTCCAAACGACGCCGTTCGATCCATCGCAAACGTCATCGAAGGCCGCGCTTGCGGTCGTTGAAAGCGACGGTCTCGTCGCCAAGGAGGATAACGAAGTCATCGATACGCTCTCGGACGTTGACGACGATGAAATCGATTCGTACATTCACAACGAAAACGAAGTCAACCTTCGTCGTTTGGTTTGGTCTGAGATGAACAAGGAGTACTTGGAATTCCAAGCCTTGAAAGAGCAAGCCGCCAGCCGCACGAGCGCGCCGACGAAAAAGAAGCATAGAAAAGCCCCCGACACGCTGCCCGCGGAGACTCCCGCGGAAGCTGCGCGTCAAGTCTTAGCTAAAAAGAAGGGCAGCTCGAAAATCAACTACGAAGCGTTGGAAAATCTCTTCAAAGTTTCTGATGGTTCGCAGCCGCCTCCGAACTCAAAAGCGACGTCTGACGTCGAAAATGACGCTTCTCCGACAAAGTCTCCTCGCACGAGACGCGCGCGTCCCGCAGGCTTACCCTCGAGCGCTCCGATGTCGACGAAATCAACCGCCAAGCGTCGCGGCTCGAGCGTCTCGACGCACGCGCCGTCGTCCGCGCGTCCGAGCGGTCTCGCGAAGAAGCCATCGGCGAAGAAAAAGTGAAGCACGAGATGATCGTTCATTACCATTCCTGCACGTCGCCTCGCTCATTGTTGTTTGTATTCATCATGTACTGTACATTACATTAATTATTCGCCCACCGCCAGCCGCCAGCCGCGCCAACCGCGCCGGCGCGCTGCATTTCGCATTTCGCATTCCGCATTTCGCGTTCGTTTCATTGACGCGCGCTCAACATCGCCGTCTCATCGCCCCGAGCACCATCACGTTCACGAACGACGACGCGTAACACATCGACGAACACCACACGCCGACGCGCGCGATGTCGTCCGCCAAGGTGCAGTTCATGATCACGAACGCCATGCGCGCGATTTTGGTTGATGATTTGGATTATCTCGACGCCGAAGTCGACGTGATGCGACCCGAGATCGCGGCACAGCTCATCGAAACGCGAACGAAACGACCGTTTGGCGATCGCCCGATGCCGGAGGCGTGGAAACGAGGAGGGAACATGCCGCAGAGACGAGGGGGAGGGGCGCTGTCGAATAATCTGGTAAAGCTGTTCCTCGCCGGCGTCTGTTGCCTGGGCGCGGCGGTGATGAGCGGGAGAGTGTCCGTGGGAACTCTTCTCGGTGGGGCGCCGCTGGGGAGGAAACCGTTGAAGAAACTTTCGAGCGAGATGAAGTCGACGAAGAAGCGGAAGAGTTCGTCGAAAAAGCGAAGAAAAAAAACGGCGGCGGCGTAACGCGCAACGCGACTCGGGAAGGAAGTTGTTATATTAAACGTAGCATATATCTAAATGTATCCTCGTCGATACGCCTGAATCGCGCCAACCATGATGAACACGCTACCTTCACTCCAAACGTACCAGATGGCGATGATGGACCATATGATGGCTCGGCGTATGAAAGGAAGCGCGTCTTGCATCGTCGGCATGGCGGTGATGGTGTCGCGATAAGACGCGAACAAAATGTCCCTAGCGAAAATGAACAGCATGAGTTGATCCCAACCCACGGTACCGATGACGGATCCCGCGAGAATACCGAGCACCTTGTATCTAAAAGCGTCGTCCGGCATCGATACGAGTTGGAGCTTCTTGTTCAACCATGGGATGACTTCGAACGCGCACACGAAGGCGCCGATGACCATAGACGCCATCGATCCCATGAGAGATTTGTTCTCCATCGCACCGAGCATGAACGGACGTCCTTTGTAGTTGACGAGCATGACACATACTCGCTGCACGGTGTCAACGAGGAACACGACGGTGTTCAGCAAGCACGGTTCAAAAGGCGGTCCCTGTTCCCAGAAGCTTCGCTGCGTTTCGTTCGCTGCTTTTTTAACCTCCTGACTCACCACAGCCACCTTTTCAGCAGTAGGGAAAGCAAGCTCTTCCCCAGTCACGGACTTAACAAGATGTACAGCGTAAACCATGGCGGCGAGGTGGATGACGAGTTGGCCAAAGAGGGACAAAAAGTTTGCCGGGTGGAAAATCGAGCGGAGAGGACGAACCTCGCTCAACGTGTGGACCGGTGTTGCGTACGAAAACGCAAGCCCGGCTACCGTGAGCGCGGTTCCAGCCGCCATCATTTGACTTTCGCTGTTGCGAACACCGTCCAAGTACAACACGGATAGAGAGTACGCGGAAATCAGGCAACTCAACATCAACACTTGCTGCATTTGAATGGCAGAGACGAGCGTGCATCGACCTTGACGGATGATATCAGCCGTGGCTTTAATGCTCGGGGCTCTGCTCGTGAAAGGTGCAGCCATGGAGGCGTCACCAAGCTTAACTTTCGGCACTTCCCCGTCCGTCTCTTCCAACTCTGCAAACACTTGCTGCAGCGACTGCCCAGTCCCAGCAACCTTTGATCTGGCAGCTTGTCTACGCTTTGCCTCTTGTACTAGTCGTTGCGTCGCCACTTTCATGGCG